CGCCTTTGTCTCACCAATGATGACTCTAAATGCTTCACACATCGCAACAGATTCCCATGTATGGCTGAGTTGACCTAGGAGAGTCCCAAAACCGGTTCAGATGTCACTCGCCACGGACACATTCAATTGAAACACATTTGTGCATAAACTGGTTTGCACAGAGACAACCATCCCCCGTATATCCTTGAACAGACTGTTGGGGCAAGTGCTGTAAGCGACACGGCACACAATGGGGTGGGTGGCCAGCACCACGCCCGACCGCCTTTCTCTCTCCATTTCTACCTAGGGGAGGCCCAGTAAGGGTTCAAATACCACGTGCCACTGATGATGTGCGGATTTTCCAGGAATGGAACCAAATGTAAAGCAGGGATGGGGCGTTTGGAGGTATCAGGAGGAGGTGGGTGCGGGGGCTAGGGGAGGCGGAGGAGGAAAGGCAGGGGAGGAGGGGGATGGAGGGTTCAAGGGGGGCTGGAGAGAGGAAGTGACAGGTGTGTGGGGGGAGCTGTGGAGGAAGAGGTGAGCGTGCTGCTGATCGGGTGAACAACGCGTTCTCTCTGACAGTAACGGGGGAGGGGGAAGCGGAGGGAGGAGAAGGGGGGGTCAGACAGATGTGAGTCGCCGAGGCACAGGGTTAGAGGGAGGGGTTGGTGGGGGGGGGCGTGTTGGCTCGTGAATACATCATCATCATCACCACCACCCCGCCACTACCACCACCATCATCAACAACTTCACAACGCCCCGAGAGGCCCCGTGATTTTTCAAAGCGTAAATTTCAGCCACCGTCCTGGTTTCCACTCTGTTGTAGAGGTCATTGCGTTGTGGGGAGAGGGACGGAGGCTGGGAGATGGAGGAGGAGGAGGGAGCGATGCGGCGTTGGCCACTATGAATTGTGCGCGTGCGCGGGATGAATGGGAGCGAGTCCCGCGTGGGGGATGGGGGGCGGGGCTACAATTTCCCCGCAGCTTCGAGAGCGCGGGGAGACGCCCCCCCCCCACTCCGCTGCCCAAAAACCCCACACGCCACAAACTCCACACACCACAAACCCCACACATCACAAACCCCACACCACAAACCCCACACACCACAAACTCCACACACCACAAACCCCACGCATCACAAACCCCACACACCACAACCCCCACACACCACAAACCCCACACACCACAAACCCCACACACCACAAACCCCACACATCACAAACCCCACACACCACAAACCCCACACACCACAAACCCCACACACCACAAACCCCACACATCACAAACCCCACACACCACAAACCCTACACACCACAAACCCCACACACCACAAACCCCACACACCACAAACCCCACACACCACAAACCCCACACACCACAAACCCCACACACCACAAACCCCACACACCACAAACCCCACACATCACAAACCCCACACACCACAAACCCCACACACCACAAACCCCACACATCACAAACCCCACACACCACAAACCCCACACACCACGAACCCCACACATCACGAACCCCACACACCACAAACCCTACACACCACAAACCCCACACACCACAAACCCCACACACCACAAACCCCACACACCACAAACCCCACAAACCCCACACACCACAAACCCCACACACCACAAACCCCACACACCACAAACCCCACACACCACAAACCCCACACACCACAAACCCCACACACCACAAACCCCACACATCACAAACACCACACATCACAAACCCCACACACCATAAACCCCATACACCACAAACCCCACACAACACAAACCCCACACACCACAAACCCCATACACCACAAACCCCACACACCACAAACCCCACACACCACAAACCCCACACACCACAAACCCCACACACCACAAACCCCACACACCACAAACCCCATACACCACAAACCCCAGGGGACATCGCTTCTACAACCGCAGGATGGCGCCATGGAGCCGGTTAAAGTCCCGAACTGGGAGCGGCGCGTGGCCGGGTGAGACGCGATCACGCTGAGATCGTGAGCGCACGAGTGGGGTCCATGCCCCCCTAAATGATAAAGCAATGCCCCATAAATGATGAAGCAATGCCCCCCCTAAATGATAAAGCAATGCCCCCCACCCATCACCTATCCGTGTGCCCCCCATTCGGAGGCTCCTCCTCGTGGTGGCGGCTGAGGAGGCACTGAAGATCAATTTGAAGAGGTCATCATGGGCATTGTCAAGAATGCCGCCACCATCACCAGCACCACCACACCTCGCCATCGCTTCCTTCCTTCTGCCAGATTCCACAGCATTTGTTTGCACAGTCGATGTCTGGAGACCTCCAAGCTTTGCTCTCAGTCTCATTCCACTCGTGGACTTTTATGCTGAAGGGGTGGGTGAGGGCTGTGGGTTACTTTGATATTGCACGGTGCAGCATAACAAACACAAATAGACCCGCTGAAATGATGATGATGGGGCCGAGATTCAAAGATTAAAAACGAGGCACTCCGCCCAATGGGCGAGATAAAAAAAGATCGCCTCCAGTCACGAAAGCTTCAAATCAAGAAATCGCCTCTTGTCACGAAAGCTTCAAATCAAGATATCAAATCAAGATATAAAATCAAGAGATGGCCTCCTATCGCGTAGCCGCCTCTCACGAGGGGAGCGCGTTTAGCCCCCGCCCCCTTCCCCAGGGGCCCAGCAATCTGCGATGCATCTCCAGCTGATGCTGCGTTGTTTGGTGTCTCGGCTGCAACGGGTAAATTCGGTGATTGCACATTTCCTGAGATCGCCTTGCCCTCTCGGCACGGGGGTGGGGTGGGGGGCTACTGGGTTCCAGTAAACGCACTTGGCACGAGGCTTGGCACGGGGCTTGGCACGACATCCCGGGAGTGGTCGCCGTTAGAGGACCTCCACCGATGAGGCGAGATCGACTCATGGTCCTGAGACTTGGAGTCGGCTTAATCTACCAGTGGGTGGGTCATGGCTCATAATAAACATGACACGTACATTTGTACGTACAAAGCTCCCCTGTATAACCTGAACGTACTCTTTGGACAAGTGCTGTTAGCGTGCACCTTTTGAAGGCCAGAATGTTACACGAGGGGGTGGGTGGCCAGCACCACGCCCGGCCGCCTTTGTCTCCCCAGTGGTAGATGTTTGCACATCGCACCAGGTACTCATTTGAGGCTGAATGGACCTAGGGGAGGCCCATGACCGATACTCGTCACTGGTGATGGCCGTGAGCGGGAATCGAACTCGGGTTGCCGGGTTCATAGCACAGCGCTCTAACCGCTGCCCACCTGTCTGTGACCTTCTCGAAGCGCGCACACGACAGCGGACTCTTGTGCATTCCTGGAGGGAGCGGAGACCCACTTGCCTAAAGGCCCCCTTATTTTTAACATGTTTAAATCTGTATATGTTTACAGTGTGCTCGTTTACTTATCTGCTCCATCTCCTTGAGCCAATTTTATTCCCTCGCTGGGGTTGAGAAGTTCCAGCTCTTGGGATCCCCAAAAATAACCCCGGGCGCGAGTTTGGGATAGAGAAGGGGGGGAATGGTGATTGTAATAAATAAATAAAATATGTTTTATCAGCCAAGGAATGGAAACGCGTCCGCAAGGTCGTTAGCCGCCGAGTCGGCGCGAATATGAGATGAGGCCACGTGGAGTTGCTGGGTAGGGTGATCACACCACAGGGTCGTGAACAGTGGTGGCGACGGCTTGGGGTGGAGACCTTCACCCAGCAGGCGACTGACCATGGCTAATGACCATTGATGATGAATCAGGGAAACGATTTTCTCGCTCCTGCTGTGATGCAGCGACGGGTGGATCACGCGGAGAAGCATGCGACGAGGCTTCCAAATCCCGCTGGAGATACGAAGTGGTCAGAATGGTGGAGGGAGTGGCGGTGGAGCTGCGGACCCCACTGGTTCACCACGATACGGTTTTAAGGAAACAACAACTCGATTAGTTAATAACTGTCAAGGTAAAGGCATGTGTCGCTCTAATATTACATTACCCGAACAAGAAACTAGTTCATATTTTTTTAAACGTATCAATTTAATTCAGCGAATAGTTTTTACGCTCACATTTGATTACTGAATCACTCTAAAATATACATATTTAATCACTAACGGTTCATTATGAATCAGTCTGGTATTTATTGAGATTATGATCAACATTTGATTGATCACTGTAATAGTGAATTAATCAGGAGTGCCCTTGCCTTGACATCTGGCTACCCAGCCGCGTGTTCTTATCAAGCCAGAGGCCGCGTGTTCCACAAACGCTGCAGGGTCGTGTTGGTGTGGAAAGCCAACAGGTCCATGGACTACACCATATTCTTATCTATTTCTGGAGGACGGTGTTGGGCCGATATTTGCTATAACCCACAATGTTGTTCATTGTGTTCGGGCTCTGAAGGTCCGCGAGGTGACAATTGAACGCCGAGGTCTGTTGTCGCCACCCTGTGGTGAAGTATGGCAACTTCAGCTCCGAAGCGCCACTCAGATTCGTGAATCGGCGATGAGCGTTGAAGAGCGGTGAACAGGGACATCACTGCGACACCCCCTCCACCCCGTATATCTGTATGAGACGTAACTGTGGGTTGCAACTTTCTGTAGTTCACCGTTCCGTGTTGCTGTGCTGCTTCGTGTTGCAACCCACGGGGACACATTGAGGCTGCGCGTGTGCGCGAGAGGGCAGCAAGGACTCACAGCAGAACACACCCCGAGACGAACAGCAGCAGCAGCAGCCTGAGGACTCGCAAACACGGCCCAGAGAGCAGCACGGGACCATTAGCCGTGCCACATCGGACCCATAACAGAGGACACAAAGACTCGCATAGGGCCCGGATAGGGGGTGGGGCGGTGGAGCGGTGGCGCAGTGGTGAGATCGGCAGGAACTGGGCCAATGAGGGCGGGAGGGCGGGGGGTAAATATTGAACCCGTTCCTTGGAGGGGCGCCAGCTGCAGTTCATGCGGCTCCACAAGAGGCCGAGTCGAAGCAGGGAGATAGACTGCCGTGAGGCAGACACAACTGTGAGATTAGGCACAGGAGCACTGCGAACAGACGCAGACCCTGGCAGTCAGACACTGCAGACAGACATAGACACTGCAGACGCTGGTAGTCGTCACCGTGCAGGGAGCCATGCCCTGCAGACAGAGACTCTTCAGGGAGGCGCTCGGGCAGCAGGGGGCGACACCCACGGAGGGGGCTGCTCGGCCGCCCCAGGCGGCGATGGCCTCCGAGGTGGGCGGCGTGGCGGCTCCAGGCCGGGCCGGCGGCGGCAGCAGCAGCAGCAGCGGCCTGAGCGGTGCGCGGAGACGCTCGGACCCGCGACGTCAGGCGGCGCTCAGCTTCCTCACGTCCATCTCCCTGGACGGGAGGCCCTCGCAGGGCCGCGCCGAGCCCGAGACCCCGGCGGCCTCCGTCTTCTCGTCGCCGCTTCTGCTACCGCTGCCGCCGCCGTCGTCGGCGACCCCCGTGGGCCCCGCGGGCCGCGAGTCCCCGCTCTTCTTCCCGGCGACCGGGCCCACCGCGGGCCTCGGGGGCAGGCCCCGCGTCCCGGGCGGTGGTGTTGGTGGTGGTCCCGGGGCCGTGGGTGCGGCCTCGGGCCCCGCGCCGTGCCCCGCGTGCCCGGCGAGCCGCGCGCTCAGCCCCGTGGAGGTCCCCGACCCGCTCCGAGCCAGGTGCGTGGCCGCGTCCCCTCGCGCGAGTTCCGCGGTGCGCCCAGGAGAGCTCGAGGCCTGGGACCCCGGGGTGCCCGCAGCGCTCTCATTGATGCCAAGCGGCGGTGGTGTGGGCGGCGTGAGACGCAGCAGCAGCAGCACCTCGTTGTTTACCTCGACCCGTCGTCATGCATTGTCAGCCTCTCTCAAGCCGCTGCTGGATGAGGGCCTCTCCGCGTCGTGCCGATCATGGGATTTGTTTGACCGTACTTCACCAAGCTGGTCAACGTGCTCACAAATAAACGAGCTTCGCAATAATTATTGGGAAACTATGGACAATGACACGTCGAGGTTTTTAAGAGGCCTTTATTAAAACCACGTGCAGGAATGATGGCCATCAAATCCATCAATGAGAATTTGGCCTCTTGTGGGAGGAAAGCGGGGAGAAAACCCCAACACCACGCCTAATACAACGGGGTGGAGGGTAAACACGCAAAGCTCCGCACAGATGGATTCAATAATCCATTGCTGCGCGCTGCATTCTCCTGGACACTTGACAGCCAAAAGCAAAAACCTTGAAGAGCGCACGATGAGAGCCTTTGACAGACATACTGAGCAGTGCGGGATTGTTTAATAGTTGAACATTTAAAGGCTAAAGGTTTAAAAACTACAGTCACCGAGTGCACTGTTAGTGTGTTATGCAACGCCGTCGTTTGTGAGCGCTCCCACGCGTGTTCACGATTGTATCAACCACAGCCGACGAGCGACACATTTTATAGCCTGACGATTCTGCAATGGCCTTGCAAGAGCAGAGAAAACCACAGTCGTCTAGAGATTAGCTAATCATTGGGGGGAGCCGTATTTTACATCGGAATGTTTTGAAGGAAGCTGAGCTCGGTAATTAGAAACCGACACACGTGGTGGATGCATGCAGTCGTGTTGTCGCCCGTGTGTGTGTGGTGTGGGGTGTGTTTGTGTGGGGTGTGTGGTGGTGTGTGTGGTGGTGGTGTGTGTGGGGTGGGGTGTGTGTGGTGGTGGTGGTGTGTGTGGAGTGTGTGTGGGTGGGTGTGTGGTGTGGTGTGGGGTGTGTGGTGTGGGGTGTGTGGTGTGGGGTGTGTGGTGTGGGGGTGTGTGGTGGTGGTGTGTGTGGAGTGTGGGTGGGTGTGTGTGGGGTGTGTGTGGTGGTGGTGTGTGTGGGGTGTGTGGTGGTGGTGTGGGTGTGGTGTGGGGTGTGTAGTGGTGGTGGTGTGTGGTGGTGGTGTGGGTGTGTGGTGTGTGTGTGGCACAAGCGTCGTAGTGACGTCACCGCCACTTAGTGGCGAATGGCGGTTGTTGTTGTGTGTGGTGGGTGTGTGTGTGGCGTGTGTGTGTCGTGTATGGTGTGTGTGTGGCGTGTATGGTGTGTGTGTGTGTCGTGTATGGTGTGTGCGTGGCGTGTATGGTGTGTGTGTGTGGCGTGTGTGTGTCGGGTAAACCCGGCCCTGCTGTTGGCCTCGGCCCCCCGTGACGATAACATCGGTGGCGCTGTGTGCGCACGTGGTGCTGCCACACACGAGTCTCTCTCTCGACACGTGGTGCTGCCACACGAGTCAGTCTCTCTCCACACGTGGTGCTGCCACACGAGTCAGTCTCTCTCCACACGTGGTGCTGCCACACACGAGTCTCTCTCTCCACACGTGGTGCTGCCATACTAGTCTCTCTCTCCACACGTGACACGTGGTGCTGCCACACGGAGTCTCTCTCCACACGTGGTGCTGCCACACACGAGTCTCTCTCTCTCCACACGTGGTGCTGTCACACGAGTCAGTCGCTCTCCACACGTGACACATGGTGCTGCCACACGAGTCAGTCGCTCTCCACACGTGGTGCTGTCACACGAGTCAGTCTCTCTCCACACGTGGTGCTGCCACACGAGTCAGTCTCTCTCCACACGTGACACATGGTGCTGCCACACGAGTCAGTCGCTCTCCACACGTGGTGCTGTCACACGAGTCAGTCTCTCTCCACACGTGGTGCTGCCACACGAGTCAGTCTCTCTCCACACGTGACACATGGTGCTGCCACACGAGTCAGTCTCTCTCCACACGTGGTGCTGCCATACTAGTCTCTCTCGCCACACGTGACACGTGGTGCTACCACACGTAGTCTCTCTCCACACGTGGTGCTGCCACACGAGTCTCTCTCTCCACACGTGGCAGGCGCAGTGGCACGTTACGTGCGCCGCAGCGAACAGACCAGAATGTATGTCGTGTCCCTGACTGCATGGGCCCTGTAAACACGTGGACTACATCGTATGGGTTACACCACGGCGGTCTTATTGTGACGCATGCAGTATACGCCACGTGCTACATGGTCGCAAAGCCGTCGTGCGATGTCTATGCAATTGGAGACATGCCATACACGGGCAGCATATCTACAAGTATTCTCTGTTGTATACGCTGCATGACACACTACAGAATGTGAAATGGTGTATGGTTTAAGAGTACTTGCACGTGCTGTGCATAACAGTACACGATAGCATAGCACTACCATTTTATTTTTTATTGCAGCGTTAAAATGCGTTATACAGTACTACGCTTATTCTGTCTTGTATGCACAACACCGTGCTTGTAAAACATCGGTATTCTTTGTGTGAATTATAAACTGTCTCAGGTGCACTGCATGTACGTGGAGGCAAGGCAAGTGTACAATGCAGGCTATGTCTATGGCTCGTGGATACAGGGCACGTGCACAATGCAGGCTATGTCTATGGCTCGTGGAGGCAAGGCACGTGTACAAAGCAGGCTATGTCTATGGCTCCTGGAGACAGGGCACGTGCACAATGCAGGCTATGTCTGGCACGAGGAGGCAAGGCACGTGTAAAATTGCAGTCTATGTCTATGGCTAGTGGAGGCAAGGCACGTGTACAATGCAGGCTATGGCTAGTGGAGACAGGGCACGTGTACAATGCAGGCTATGTCTATGGCTAGTGGAGACGGGGCACGTGTACAATGCAGGCTATGTCTATGGCTTGTGGAGACAGGGCACGTGTACAATGCAGGCTATGTCTATGCCTCGTGGAGACAGGGCACGTGTACAATGCAGGCTATGTCTATGGCTCGTGGAGACAGGGCACGTGTACAATGCAGGCTATGTCTATGGCTCGTGGAGATAGGGCACGTGTACAATACAGGCAATGTATATGGCTCGTGGAGGCAGGGCACGTGTACAATGCAGGCTATGTCTATGGCTCGTGGAGACAGGGCACGGTAGGGGCTGCGTGCGCTGCCGGGTTCCCAGCGCTGCCAGGGTGCATGGGGGGGGGGGGTACAGCTCCCTCCTCGCCGCCCTCGTGTGTGATTGTTCCCGGGGCCGGGACCCCGCTCCCCGCGCCTTCCGTTCCCATGGCCGGGCAGTCGTGGAGCGGTGGCGCAGCGGATAGCGCGCTGCGCTTAGAACTTGGATTGCCGCTCACGACCAACAACAGCGGGGTTTCCCCTATGTCCGACTCGTCCTTAAATGAGTACCTGTTGCGGTGTGTAAACATCTAGCACCGGGGAGACAAAGGCGGCCTTGCCTGGTGCTAGCTCACACCACCTATGCAATGCACCGCGTTGGCCTTCATAGGCGTTCGCTCACAGCACCTGTCCCAGCAGCCTGTCGGCAGCACAGGGATCTTTGTGTTTGTGCCAGTTCGATATGTGGCCACGGCCAGCATGGCTCAGTAGAGGCCACCGGGTTTCGTTTGTATGCAGCTCATGTTTGCGTTGTGTCCCGAGTTGAATAATGTTGATCTTAATCTGCGTCATCACACCTCCGCAGGCTGGTTCTGCGAGACACCCGCCTGGTGTAACCGTGCGCTCCACTAAGTTCCCACGCCTCCCTGCTCAGGAAACGTGGAGAGTTGGAGGAGGGGAGGGGGGTCACAATTGTGTGACAGGGGCCACACGAGCGCCCCTGCTTCCCCTCTCGCTCCATATCGCTCCTCCGTGACGCTTCCTCCACCTCCCCCAACCTCTGCTCCACTCGGCCCTCTGAGATCGCGCCGATGCCACCCGGCGCCGGTGTTCGTGCCCGTGCGTTTGCGCGCGTGTGGTCAGGCGTGGCGGGTGCGTGTGTATTTGTTGACGCGTGACCGTGTTTTTGGGCCCACGTGTGCGTGCCCATTATTTGCGGGGAAGTGACGCTTACAACAACGAGCGGAACGCCGGGCGGATAAAACGCATCAAGCTGGCACAGTGGGGGAGCACAGGTGGTGCATCTGCCAGCCATTCAACCCGTGGCACCTGGGTGTGTTCTGTGACGCCCAGGTAGCAGCGAGCATTCCACACTTTGCATGGCCTCAAGTTGCACCTCGCCTGGCGTAAACGCCATGGTGACGTCACCGTGGCTTGCTGGTGAAGGGAGGTTATTGTTCCGATGTGTGCGTGTCTATCGGCCGGGTGTGGTGCCGGGCAAGCCACCCCCTTCACGTGCCGACCTCAATAGGTGCTCGCGAACAGCCCTTGGCCGTGTGGCTTTAGGGTGGCCTGTGTCTTTGTTGTTGCACAGCGTGCCGAGTCGGCGCCGGCTGCTGTCACGATCGTCGGTGGACACCCTGGAGGAGATCGAGGAGAACGCGCCGCTGCGCAGGTGAGGCTCCCCAGCGCCTCGCCCGGCCACTCGGCCCGTCGTGGTATCCGTGTTCACGATGCGGCAAATATCGCCGCACGTTATGCAGCATGCCATACCTTGCGCAGTTGGATTCGTCGTGTTTAATGTGTGCTTTTCTGTCGTGAGATTACGCAAACCGTGTACAATCTGTAGCGCTCACGATGCACATGCTGTCAGTTTCACAAGGAGTAAGCAAATCGTGACTGTTAACTATAATGTTGTCATCTCACCGCCATGCTGTGTTTAGGGCTTGACTGCGCTATTTCATATTTTTGTATGAAATAAAAAGTATATGATGAAATGAAAAACGCTAATCAAGATTTGCACAGTTGGCTACATACAGTGCGAAAGAAGTTCAACATACATTGTGGAATGATCTTTTGAAAAAACAGCCACATCACGGCAACCTGACTCTTGCGAATGCTGGTGTACCGTTATCTCCCGGACACTCGCAGGACCGTGAGTTACTCCCCCTCTGCCCTGCCTCCCCCCGCCAGGTGCCGCACGCTCTCGTGCTCCCCGCGACCCAAGGCGGCGCTCAAGAAGGTTCACTTCATCAAGAACATTCGGCAGCACGACACTCGCAACGGCAGGTGGGCGCCGTCACGCGCGCGTGCCCGGACTCTGGGGTCCTTGGTGCGCTCGCGTGTCGTGGGAGGGGAGCCGTTCAGCACTCACCGACACGTTCGTTCATCGGTCGCTGGTAGACTGCGACAGGCATGTGCCTAGTACCCACAGCCGTCGTGAGAGGTATACTAGATGTGGTGTACCGGATGTGGAAATATGTTTGTATTTCAGGTCGCTGGCTAAGACGCATCCGAAATGAAGCCCTGCTTCACGCTGACAATACATGCAACGAATGGCACGTATCGGAATTGGTCATTTATAGTTGTATACAAATATGTTAACATTTTAGTCGAACAGAGAGAACAAAACCATACAAATTATATTTTTTATTGGAATACAAATGAGACGGTAAAAACGAAAAGAAAATTAACCGGATCTTGCGTTGCATGGCAATCCGTGACGTTTCATCGTCCCAGTTCATGAACTCACTGCAGGGGAGTCCACCGGTAGTTGCCTGGGAGTCTTGTCCCTGTCTCGGCGTCACCATCGGTGAGCGAGCGCTCTTTGGGCACCTGCAGGGCACGCGTGGGAAGTGGTCGAAGTCGTCGCCGGCGCCGTCTCACGCGTTCGCTGCTCCGCCTGTGCTCCACGCCCTCCACCCCCGTGCTCCGTGCAGGATCGTGCTGGTCTCCAGCAAGCGCTCGCTGTGCTCCGTCTTCTCGGTGGTGCCGTACCGAGACGCCAACCCCTTCGGGTGAGGCTCTGTCACCTTTGCACGAGCGACGGCCGGAACCGACTTATTGCCAGCCAGAGCCCCACCCTGATGCAGGGCGCCCGAGACCGCAGGGGTTCACGACGGCGCGCCGACGCCCTCTGCCCCGCCTCACCTCGCTCTCTTCCCCGTGCCGGGGCCTCATTGCAGGGAGGTGCGATCGGACGGCACCCGACAGCGCCACCACTCGGGAGGGCACACCAGCTACCCGGAGCGTGCCGGGTCTCTGGGCTGGCTGGAGGGCGTGAACCTGGGAGCGGACGGGGCAGTAGTGCACGAGGTATGATCCCTCGACCCCTCGGCCCTTGACCTCAACCCCTACCCCCCATCCCTATCCCGTATCCCAATCGCGATCCCATATCAAACATTTGGAGCAGGTGAACTCATGGCTTCTTAAACCAATCTGCCTCGAGAAGAGAGTTTTTAATCAATGTGTGGCATAATGAACATAAACATGCAAATCAAAAACTTAAGAGTCCACACAAAAGCATAAATAAATACATGCTTGGAATTACACCGATAAACAGATGGGGGAACACCGCGATGAGAGAACATGAAAGTTCGGGGAATTCTGTTGACTGTTCAGCAAGCGGCCTTGGGTAGCACATGTTTTTGTAAGGAATAATGGTCGATGGTCAAGCATAATCACCGAGTGGCAGCCATGTGATGAACGCATCCGAGAGAATGGCACCGAGCAGATGGAGCGATGAAATTAGATCTAGTGCTGGTTGGATGATTACTTCGCAGGGTGGTGAGAGATGGCGACGGCTTGGGGTGGCCTTCGTCCGACAGTGGATTGATCATGTCCTTAGATGACGGCGGCGGTGAGCGTGCGGGGTGGACGGTGCCACTGGTCGCGAGCTGGTTCCGCGTGTGTGCCCCCACAGGCCGTGTCGTACGCCCAGTTCCTGCACCCAACCAGCGCGCTCGTCACACGGCGGGCCCACGCAGCCGGCGAGGGGGCGACCGTGCCAGCACGCGGCGCCCGCGCGGGGACCGCGCCGGCGCCGCACCGACAAGCGCCACACCATGCCGGTACTTGCCAGCGCATGCCAGCAGACGCCAGCACAAGCTTACACACGCTTACACACGCCTACGCAGGCCAGCACATGCCAGCACACGCCAGCAAACGCCGTGCGCGACGATGCACAACCACGCACAGACCACAAGGGAGGTGGTAGCAGCTGAAGGCCCAAGTCGTATTTGCGACGCCGTGGTTTTAGGTTGTGCCTGTGTGTGAGAGTGTGGGTGTGTGCATTTGTGGGTGTGGGTGTGTGCATGTGTGGGTGTTTGGGTGTGCATGTGTGGGTGTGCGTGGAGGGAAGCGACAGTGAAGTTGTTAGCGCACTGCGTTACGTGGCGCAAGAGCACAGAAGCGTGGTCACCACGTCTACGCCTCTATATAAGGAACAAAACAGTAAGACTTCTCCACATACCTGGCTGTCGCCTGATGAAGCTAGTTGTAATTACTGGCGAAACATCGTACTCAGATTGTAAATGTTGTGGCTTGGCTCTCCAACACACCGGTGTGCTGTACTAGTGACGAATTGGCACGTTCTGTTTACTTGACAACCCTTACTAGTTGGCTGTGTCGGCTGGTGGCGGGTTTAACGACACATTTATATATGGACGCGATCTAACCCAAAAAAACCTTATGGATGATATTGGTCGCGAAAGCCTCCAAGGTTAAACTACACGTTGGATTTTTGTCTTTGCGTCTCCGTGTGTGCGTGTGTTGTCAGAGTCCGGCGATCGTGTGGGTTACGACCCTGACTTGCTGGAGGACCCACAGTGGCCATGTGGGAAGCACAAGCGAGTGTTCATCTTCCCCTGCTACATGGTGCGCCTCGCTCACTCGCTCACTCGCGTAGGCTCCACGGCCAGAGTTGGCTGAGAAAGGTTTCTGTTTACTGCCCTCTGTCATTCTGCTGCTGGATACAGACTTTGTCGGTCACGACCATACTTCACCATCCCAGGTCGCTTACCACTCGTCACAGATTTTAGCCTTTGCCAGCACTTGCAACTCCACCCTGGAGAGTGCGTTTGTGCGTTGCTCGTCGTGAGGTCAAGAGGTCGTATCCTCGTGTGGGTGCACAGACGACCATCATCGAGTACGTGCGCCCGTCCGACCTGAAGAAGGACATGAACGACACATTCAAGGAGAAGTTCCCGCACATCAAGCTCACGCTCAGCAAGATCCGCAGGCGAGCGAGCCGTTCACGCGCGCGCGAGAGTGATCAACGTTGGATTTATATTAACCATCATCGGTGGTGTCATCATCATCGTCATCAACGTCATCCATGTGCAGACTGTGTGCCTCCTGTACGCTTTGTTCCTGTGAATGGGAAGGTTGAAGGCGATGGTAGTCGAGGTGGTAATGGGAGTTAAAGTGACGATGGTGATTAGAGTGATGGCGGTGGTGAAGCTCGTGGTTGTGATAGTGATGGAGGTCACCATCATCACTACGTTTCCTGCTACAATCCGTCTATTGGAGCTGCAGGTGACAGCAGCGTGTGACTTATCAGTGCCGCTGCTTGACGTTAGGACGCCGTAATCGCTCAAGTAAGCTTTTTGTTTAGCCAGCCGAAAGACCGGTGGTGAATGCGGTGACGATTGCGACGTTGGTTGTGTCGACGGAGGGCGTTGCGTGCCACGCTGAAGACAGCGGCGACGGTGATGACACGGTCACCGTGCGTGACAGCGACGCCACGACGCGGCACGTGATGCGGCACGTGATGCGGCACGTGATGCGGCGCATGACACGCGTGACGTGTGGAGAGCAGCCTGAAGGAGGCGATGCGGCGGCTGGCGCGCGACGACTGTGGACTGGAGGAGGGCGCCGTCGCCATGGCGCACGTGTACTTTGAGAAGCTGGCGCTGCGTGGGAAGCTGAGCAAGCAGAACCGCAAGCTGTGCGCCGGCGCCTGCCTGCTGCTCGCCGCCAAACTGGCCAGCGACCTGCGGCGCCGCGACGTCAAGCTGCTCATTGACGTCAGTACCGGTCGCGCGCGCAAGCACGCACACGCGCGACCATTTTTACCTGTTCCCTCTACCTCCATGCCTCTCTCTACTTTTGACAATTGGTGATGGGTGTGGTATTGGGGATAGTGATGAATGCGATGGTGGTGATAGTGGAAAAATTGAAGATGGTAATTTTGATGAAGAGTAAATTGGTGACAGCGATCACAGCGATGGTGTTAATGTAGGTGATGTTGACATACAGTAATGGGTGTAATGTTGGTGATGGTGGTAATGCCGGTGTTGTTGAAGAATCATGATGTGTGTGCGATGTCGGTGATAGAGGTAACGTCGCCGTGCCCTGTGTGATGTAGACACGTGTGATGTGGCCCGTACGCCCTCTCAGAAGGTGGAGGAGCGCTTGCGGCTGAGCCGCCGCGAGCTGCTGGAGTTTGAGTTCCCAGTGCTGGTGGCGCTGGAGTTTGCGCTGCACGTGCCCGAACGTGAGGTCATGCCGCATTTCCGCCGCCTGTCGGTGCGGGACTGAGCTCCGCGCCGCCGAGCTTGGCAAGGCGTGGCAAAGCACGGCGTCGGGAGATGTCGCCTGTCGGCAAAACCCACGTCCGTGCGGTCGAGGCGGAGCCAACATTAAGAAACTTTGTTGAGCAGTGGCACCGGGAGGTCAGAAAGACATGGGGAGCCATGGACACGCCGCGTCGTCATCCTGATCATTGTTACCGGCTCCTGGCTTGGCTCCGCAGCCATCCTACCGTGATGCTGCAGGAGTTTCGGGTGTCCCAAGGGGTCGCAGCGAGCGCCCGCCTGACGACCTCAATAGCCGCGTTTACATGACCCTCCCTTTGCGTCCAGGGAGGTCAGGGAGGCTCAACGTGGGAGGCACCACGTGGGCACCGGCTGAGCAGTGCTCCCGGGCCGTGCTCGCGGACACCTGGGCACTATCTCCAGGCATCAGAAATGCAACAACAATAAAATAAATAACAGTTTAATTAATCATTCCTATCGTTTGCGTTGACGTCACGCACAACTTCCTGTTCGCATCCTCGTTGCTGGCCCGATCTGTGTGGTTTACCCACACCTGGTTTGGTCGGTTTCGCGTGGTCACAGGTAGGGAGTCGCACTCCTCCCTAGGGCTGTGTCGCGGCCACATTTTGTGCACTTTGCCCACCTGAATTCCTGCCCGGTGGCGTCAGTAAAACGGTGGCCGGACGACCGAGCGCGCAGGTACCACGGCAACCCAAGTTCTCGCGCCACGCCACAGAGATTAACAAACCGCGGACAGTGCGTGATGATGCGGTGTGGCTCCGAGGCAGCTTATATGTAGCTACTAGCTGATGCTGATTGCTAGAATTTTAAAGATCAAACTTAATGTGCACTCTACCAAAGTGTTTGTATTATTCAAGAGGGTTGCGCCGAGTGTACGCCCAATGGAGTGAACGGTTCGCCGATGACGTCACCTTTCACCGGTTTCTTGACATCGGCCAGCGCCCTCGCTCCTCACTCATTGCTAGAAAACGAAATGCACTGCCGGGTCACTTACGGTGGGGTAAAGTGTGGGTAACCCCACCTCCGGTAATGAGTGTTAATCTTGTCCAATGAACATTACAGACGAAAATATTCGTCAAAGTATTTTTACTTTTTTTTACTACGAGTGGACGAAAGTCAGGGGGCGATGATGGCGACTGCAGCTGCTACCCCAACGAAGACTAAAGCGCGACCGACTGATGAGAAGTCAAAGATAACTTTGTAACGACATCGGAGAATGCAGTGCACGGAGCGTTCTCCTCGACTCGACTGAATAACTAAACCAAATCCACAGACTAAGGCTCGACTCGATTTCCATTGGTCGACTTCGCTTAGACTACGACTAAAATATCAGGTGGTGACTAAACTTGATGCTGGTTCTAATCTGTCGGACCATAACACAAGCTGGATAAACCCCACTCTATGAGAAAGACATTTACATTCAGTGCTTTGGCCGCTATGGAGAGGGATTACCTGTGTGCAAGTGTTATCTGCGTATATGCGTGTGGTCAGCTTCTCCAGGTTTCCCCCAACAGACGAGCGCGTGGCCTTGCCGCTGGTAGGCCAGGTGTTGCCGTACGCTCTGAGGTTCTCAACATTTCTCCGCTCCGATTAGCACAGTTGGCTATGTAAGGTGCGAAGGAAGTTTAACGTACATACTTGAAGCTGCACATCGGATGCATTTCACGAGCATCCCTGGCCAGGAATGGCGGGATTTTGCGATGGACTTTTTTTTCCCAGTGTACGACCGAGCCGTGTCGGGACCGTGCAGGGTTCGCCTGGTGCCACCCTGGTCCTGCTGGGCCCTGAGCCAGATTCGGATGTCTTGCGATACCAGAGCATCCCGGTTTGGTTCTGGCTCGGCTCGGCAAAGAGCCAGTGGAAAACCACCGCCCGTACCGTGAGGGGTCCCACTCTGGCTCGGCTCGGATGTGCCAGTGGAAAAGGTTATTTCAGAGCAAGGGAACATCTGTGTCTTCTTATAGCTTTATTATTGAGTCAGAATATCTGTTTTTCATTGTATGTAGAGCTTAGTTAGTGTACTCTTGTTGTGTCTATGAGGTATGGGTGTGATGTCGAGTGTTTCTTGAGGATAAAGCTTTTATAGGCAGCGATAATTTGCAATTCACGCAGCTGGAAGGGTTGGAGTTGTGGCAGTGATTTGCACACTGCGCTATGAACCTGGTATCCCCAGTTCGATTCCCAGCCGTGGCTAACATCAGTGGTAAGTGAAACACATACCGGTCCTGGGCTCTCCCTTCAACCTGTGTTGACCGATATGGTGAAGTATGGTCAAACAACCCCCATGAGCAACATGGGGGCCTTCACCTAGCAGTGGTTTTATAAAGGACTGTAATGTTTAAAGTAATACAATATCAGGTCTCCATTGCAAACACACTTAATGGATTGTGGTTAAATAAAGGATTTTGTTCATATCAAGGTTTTCTTTGTGTTTCCGTTACTGTGTTAATCGCGTGCATGCTATAAGTGATGAAGTAAAAGTAATGTGTTGAAGGTTTGGTTAAGTTGTGATTGTGATTAAGAATGCCAAATAGTCACTTCCTGCTTAAATAATCCCAAGAATGTGGCTCCTCTCCCGTTTACTTCCCTGAGCAAGTGGTGCAAATTCCACATTTCTATGGCAGGTGTAATTGTTTTCATATCATGATAGGTTTCCTCACAACGTGGCACTGCACTTGTTTAATTGACACCAGAGGGATGGTGGGCACAGTCAACCCCCAACCAGGATTTTAAATCTCAACCCTCCGATTGTGAGCCATTCGCTCGGCTGCTTCGCCACCGGCTGGGTAACGTTAGACTTATTTTTACACTTTGTATAAAGAAGTCACGGCCGTCTTTGTTTATGGTTGTGAGTTGATTCATGGGATTGCAAAGTGTATAGTGATAGCGCTAACATGACACCTTTTAAAATGAAAATCGGCAGAGAAATGTGGGCCACAGGAGGAACATCCTCAATCGGTGCTTGGAGCCCTCAACACGCAGAGATCAGACACGGGGGACGTCAAAGCAAACGAACCCAAATGCCAAAAGAAGTGTGAAGAGAAGCGAGGAAGACGTGGGTCAAATAACGATTAGAGACCAGACCGCCTGCGCTCGTTCTCGGGTGCCGCTGAGTTTCCACGCCCTGCGATGATCTTGACCCACAGGGTTGGTGGTGAACCGCGCGGCTTCAACTCGGGGTCGCATGGTCACAGGGCGAGGCTTCGTCAGTCGCGTTCAGGGGGTGGAATTATCCCCCCGCGTCCCCCCGCGCCATTCAGGCGCGTGAACTTTTGATTTCGTAACACAAAATGATCATTGGCCTCGCTGTGGAGAATTTGAACGGCAACAGCACGGGACTCGCGGTCGACTCTCGGCTGATGGATTTTGTTTTCAAGTTTAAACAACAAAGGGGTCGTCCATAAATGACGTCACACGATTTTGGACGATTTTTGACCCCCCCCCTCCCCCTCGTCACACGGCGTCACAAAAAGTCAGACCCCCCCCCCCCCTCAAATATGACGTCACAAAGCTCTACCGCCCCGCCCATCAAAAAATAAAAATGCTTCGAATCGCTTTAAACTACATATTGTCATTGTAGTGCGTATTTAATGTGGCGCTGCACTCTGATGTTGTAAGAGAAAACATTTATTAGAAAGTATATTTAATTAAGTAGAACGTATTTTTAGTTCTTTCGGTAAAGTCACGTTTAAGGGAAACAACAAAATAATAAAATATGAATTACTGCAGTCACGAAAGTTTTAAATCAAAATTTAAGTAGAACGTGTTGTCTATATTTAAAGTTGCGCATTTTGATGTGAAGTCACATTTCTCAAACCCCCCCCCCTCGTCACACATCGTCACAAATGTCTGACCCCTCCCCCCATGTGCGTGACGTCATTTATGGACGGCCCCAAATCTCCCTCACCCCTAACCAAAATGGCGGTGGCGTGACCTTTCGTTTCCGTACCACGTGACGAGAGGCGGCCAATCACCATCGCGCGCGGCCGCCGACTACAGCAGCGGCGCAAGCGGCAGCATCTGCGGTTTCCTCTCGCCCCCCTCGTCCCCCCACGTCTCCCCACGTCCCCCCTCGTCTCTCCACGTCTCCCTACGTCCCCCCTCGTCTCCCCCGTCTCCCTACGTCCCCCCTCGTCCCCCCTCGTCTCCCCCGTCTCCCCCGAGCCCCGCACTTTCCCCGGCTCCCCGGTCGCTCGCATGAGCCAGGCCCAGGCTGCGCGTTCACAACAGCGGAGATCTTGAGCCGAAGCCGGGAAGTTTCGCCCGCGTCGAGACTTTGGTCCGTTCAAGTTCACCAAGCGAGCCCCATAACGAGGAGGAGGAGAGTTTAGACGCGCGGCCGTTCGCTCTGTGGAGAAGGCCGGCGGGTGAGAGTGGAATGGAGGGCTCGGGGGGAGAGGCGCTGGTGGCTGCGGTGGCGTCGACTGCTGCGCCCAAGGTGCAAACTCGTCACCGTCTCCCCTGTGTCTCTCCTGTGTGTACCAGTCTACCCTGTCTCTCCTGTCTCCCCTGTGTGTTTCTGTCTCCCCTGTGTGTACCAGTCTACCCTGTGTCTCCTGTCTCCCCTGTGTGTATCACTCTCCCCTGTGTCTCCCCTGTGTGTACCAGTCTATCCTGTCTCTCCTGTCTTCCCTGTGTGTTTCTGTCTCCCCTGTGTGTACCAGTCTACCCTGTGTCTCTCCTGTCTCCTCTGTCTCCGCTGTGTGTATCTGTCTCCCCTGTGTTTCACTCTCCCCTGTGTCCTCCTGTGTCTCCCCTGTGTGTACCAGTCTCCCAGTCTTTCCTGTGCGTATCAGTCCCCCTGTCTCTCCCGTGTCTCCCGTGTCTCTCCCCTGTGTCTTTCCTGTGCGTATCAGTCTCCCTGTCTCCCCTGATCGTGTCCGTCTCCCCTGTGTCTCCCAGTCTCCACTGTGCCTCCCGGTCTCCCCGTTTCCCAGTCTCCACTGTCTCACCGAATTTCCTCGAGTCTTGTTCACTTGTCACCGCATGGGGCACCTGTTTAATTATCTCCATATTAATATTGTGTCCGTCTTCGCATGTCCCCTCACCAACGCCTGTGCCTCACTGTCTGTGTCTCCCTGTGGGACCCGTCTCCCGGCGTCGCAGTGAATTAATTCTGGATCCTAGTCTGCCTTTAGTCGAGTGTTTTGTTTTACGAGCCTTCGTCAGCTGCTTCTCGAGTTTCAATCCTAAAGAGCCGTGCAGCGCCAGTGGCTGGGTCCGCTGTCACGGCCTTTTTCGTCTTACTCGTCATTGCTTTGATCCGTGTGAAGTTAAAATGCTGGCTCAGCTCGTGGCCTCACACAAGCCCGGGGTCGGTCCGTGCAGTGACCGCGTGAGTCACAGCAGGATGCACGTAACGCGCCAGCCACCCTGCCCTTCGACACGCAGAGCCCTTGGGGCAAGGTGGGCGTGGGGGCGGCGGCGCCCTGCTCCCTGGCGGACGTGATGAGCGAGGAGCTGGCGCAGGAGCTCAGCCGCGCCGACACGGGGACCCAGGATGAAGCGCTCAGCCTGGAGTACGAGTCTACGCCAACACCGCAACTACCTACAAGAATCGCTCATGCACAACCCTACCACCCACCTACCACCTCGTCAACACCAACGAGGAGTCTACACGCCCGCACCATCAACGGAAACAATACCGACACATCTTTTGCGTCATACCACTCACTAACAACACGACCACCAATACCACAACTCCCTTAACAAACAACACTTCCAACAATCTACTACTACCACCACGAACACTGCGAGGACTAACACGAGCAACACCCTTTACATACTGCCATCGTCAACAATACATCACCCACCACTGATACCACTCACGAAGCTCCCACCACCAACCACAACCACTGGGAATCACCCCTATCACACACCATCCACCACCGTGTATTTTTAAAATAAACTTTTCCTCCACCATCCACACTCCAACATTAATTACCAAACACCACTCACCGGCACCCTTACTCAAAATAACCCGACCACTCCCCATCTCGGTTGCATACATCAAACCCGAGTTTTCGCAAATACCATTGTTGTGAAAGAGTTGATTTCAGCAACTGGAAACTGTGTCCGTTTATTTTTAGACGTTGCACATTCCTCAATTGCAAGTGTGAGTGTTTATTTTACTCACACAGTGTGTTCTGCGAGGGATGCATCACAGTGACTTAGCCCGGCCATTCTATGTCTGTAATAATTTTCCCCTTTCATGATTTGACTCTTGTCCTCCCTTCATATTGGCAGGGATTTCATCAGCAAAGTTTGTACGTTCATGTTGAGGTTGGTGGGTGAATATCTGAAATGCTCCCGGCAAATGATGGAAGCGAGAAGTGGGGTTAATGTGGTGGCCCATGGATTTGAGATATGGTGACCGCAGTTACACCGTGGGCTCTTGTCCATCGGTGTAGCAGATTACCACATCTGCCGTTTGGTGTGATGCTGTTCAGCACAGACCATTGTTTCACGATTCAGGATCCTTTAGTGTGAGTTACGGCATGGTTACTTGAAGCAATCGCATGCAATACGTGTGAACCAAAACACTCACGATTTGATGAGTGTTGAGCATAATAATCGACTGGAAACGATTATTCGGTGCGTCACCTAGCCTGCTCAACACGGCACAGCTTCTAATCCAGGCCTGCGTCCCATGGTTGATTGGTCCCGATGGTGGATCACCGTCGTCCTCATCATCTGTGTCCGCCGCAGGTTTCTCGCAGTGGAGGGGGCGGTGCCGGGCCCCGTTGGCGACACTGAGAGTGACGTGCTGCTGGCGAAGCTGCTGCAGATGGAGTTTGACCGTGAACACGACGCCCTGCTGCGCCGTGAGCAGGACAAGCTCAACCGCGATAGCAAAGGTGTGGCGAGCACCACACCAGACCTAGCTTCTAAGGCTATCACGGACAGTTGCGCCACTCTGAAAGAGACCTGAATGGATACTTCCTCTCGTGCTGTGACACCAGTAGCTCAAGCAGGATACAATTCACTGTAGTGGAGTAAGGGATTGCAGGGTCACGCATTGTGCTGCGGACCGCCATGCTGACCTGACTCACACGCGCTGTGTGTGGACTCCGTGTGAGCAGTGTCCATTTCGTTTGAGAACTACCGCATGAGCCACCCGTATGAGGACAGCGACAGCTCAGAGGAGGAGGTGGACTGGCAGGACACGCAGCACGACCCCTACCGAGCAGGTGGGTGGAGGTGTATGGGGGTTGGGGGCATGTTGCATACTGCTGGGTGGTGTGGTTGGACTTGCTTGTGTGTGGATGAGTGGTTGCACTTGCTAGATTCTGATCTCAGCATGTCTGTGCATGAGATTTCACTTTTTTTAGATTTTGAGGGTGTATGGATGTCTGTGTGCCTCTGTGGGTGGGTTTGTCTCTGGGTGTGTATGTGTCACTGCGTACGTGGGTGAGTGTCTAAATATTTTTTTGCACGTCTATCGTCGTGTCTTTGTTTATGTGTTTGTCTCGATCCCTTGCAGCCAAGCCACAGCCGTTCCCACGATGCGGGTTCACCGGCCGTGGAAAATCGATGACCACCAAGCACGACGAGGCACTGTGCGGACGCAAGAACACGGCTCGCATGGAGCACGTGAGTGCAGTGCACCAGCGTATGCCCGTACAGCGCAGCCAGGGAAACCGTGCCGTTCGCACCTGGGCTGCTTGAGCGTTTTTTGTGCAGTAATCTGTGGCGGTGGTGTTTGTGGCTGTTTTTATGGAATGCAGTTTCCTCCAGAGTTCTGTTCGGGGGATGGCATCCAGATGGACCTGAAGCTGTCAAACCAAGTGTTCAACGTGCTCAAGCAGCACTCACAGGCCGAGCAGCGGCGCAGCGCCCGCCTGCACGAGAAGAAGGAGCACTCCACCTCGGTACGGGGGGCAGGGGGGGGCCTCACCACTGGCACACTCCTCTCAGGCACCTGTGAATGAGACCACATCGCCCCGATTCTCCCAATTCACACAGTAGTGTTGGGGGGGTAATTGAGACCTTAAGTGTGAGTGGTGAGTACTCCTCCCCCTCACCAACTCAACTCAGGATAAGCATAATGATTTGCAGGTATAGGGCGTTTGCTTATGTCTCACCAACTTATGTGCAGCACAAGGTGTGCATCGCACCAGCCTGCTTAATGCTTATCGCTGGCCGAACACCGACCCTCCCCGCTGACCTCGTGCCACACACCAGGACCAAGCAATGGACGCTCGCACACGGCTGCTGCTGTACAAGATGGTGAACGCCGGCGTGCTGGAAAGCATCAGCGGCTGCATCAGCACCGGCAAGGAGTCGGTGGTGTTCCACGCTGCGGGCGGCCGGTGGGTGGGCAGCAACATCGTCGCATAAACCTCATCATTGCAGCCTGTGAACTTCGTAGCAACCTCATCATGTCGATCTTATCACATCATGATTGTATTAACCTCATTAAGGCAGCCTCATCGTATCAACCATTTAACGTTAACCTCATCGTGCTGCCCTTGGTTGAGGATTGGCGAGGGATGGTGGTGTTGCTCGGAGCGTGACCGTTTTATCACTTCCTTGACTTGACCACCGTGTCCGCCCTTCTCCACCGCCGGGTCATTCCCACAGGATGGAGAACAAGGAGGTTCCGTCGGAGTGCGCCGTCAAGGTGTTCAAGACGACGCTGAACGAGTTCAAGAACCGCGACAAGTACATAAAGGACGACTACCGCTTCAAGGACCGCTTCAGCAAGCTCAACCCCCGCAAGGTCATCCGCATGTGGGCCGAGAAGGAGATGCACAATCTGGCCAGGTGAGGGCAGAGTGGGTCGCCAAGGCCAGGAGGGTTGGTGAGGTCTGGAATCTGATGCCTATAGTGGAGGAAGAGGAGGGTTGGTCACCTAAACAGACTAGATGGAGGGCAGAGAGCTCTGGACACTGCAGGCAGTGACACTGTGGCCTGGCCCGGCCATGTCTGCTAGAAGAAGGTACGATAAGATGACATGACGAGAACTCGTAATCCACCAATTTTTGCTTAACAGCTTTCAAGGAGCGTGTCGCCTTGTCTAAGATATTTTTATACTTCATATAATTGACTCAATGAGCTCTCACGGGGTTAAATTACAGTAGTCTTAAGAGAATGAATTGCAATGTTGTTTTGTGTGCTTGTGGCGGTGCACTCATGCACATAGGATGAGGGCAGTGGGAATCCGCTGCCCCGAGGTGGTGCTGCTGAAAAAGCACGTCCTAGTGATGTCGTTCCTGGGCGAGGGTCAGGTGCCGGCCCCCAAGCTGAAGGAGGCGAGGCTGTCATCAGCCCAGCTATCCCTTGCCTACGAGCAGGTGGTGCAGGTGCGAGTGCTGAACGAATTGTTGGGGCCACCCTGTGATGCTGGAGGGGATGGTGGTGGTGCATTTTGCGGTGGTGATCATGTGGTTAGCACACTGTACTGCAAACCTGGAGACAAGCTCCATTCCCAACCACAGCTAACATCAGTGGTGATTATCTGAACCTGTCCAGGGCCACCCAGAGATTGATTTAGATGTAAATGAATACCCACTGCTACTTGTAAACATCTACACTGAGGAGGCAAAGGTGGCCGAGAGTGGTGCTGTTAATGACACCCCTGCCCCTTTCCAATTCCGGCCTTAATAGGCGCTTGTAACCACACTTTCCTCAAAAGTCTGTGTAGGCGACACAGGGGCTCTTTGGCGCTGGTGGTATCTTGTTGGGACAGTGCTCTGCGATTCTACTGGGTGTAGATTTGAGTGGGGCGAATTGGCTGCATTGGCATTTTGCTGCCACAATGTCCCACCGTGTCACCCGGCCATGCTCGTGTGTGCAGATGATGCTGACCCTGTTCCACGGGTGTAACCTTGTGCACGCCGACCTGAGCGAGTACAACCTCCTGTGGCACCGCGGAGAGGTGAGGGCCCCCTCCTCCCGCACTCCCCGAAACGCTTCCTCCCCATCACTGACAGCGATGGGGAGCCATTGTTGCTGTGGATGTGTGCGATGGTCATACTAGTTCGAGTGAACGTGGTGTTTGTGCTTGTTGTGGCTCGTGGTTGTGCGGGTGACTGGTTTGTGCATTGCCGTGCAGGTCTGGCTGATTGATGTGAGCCAGTCAGTGGAGCCCACGCACCCGCATGGCCTCGAGTTCCTCTATAGAGACTGCCGCAACGTGTCCCAGGTGAGCGCGCTCGGAGGCGTGCGTCTGTGTGTGGGTTACACTCGTGGGGCGCGATAGTGAAGCGGTTAGCACACTGTGCTCCAAGTTCGATTCCCGCTCACGGCTAACACCAATGAAGTTTATCTGAATCGATCTTGGGCCTCCCCTAGGTCGACACAGCCTCAAATGAGTACCTGGTGCAGTGTGTAAGCATCTCCACTGGGGACACAAAGGCGGTCGGGCGTGGTGCTGGGCACTCACCTCCTCATGTATCATTCTGGCCTTCGTAGTTGCTCGTGAACAGCACTTGCCCCGACAGTCTGTTAAGGCTATAGGAGGGGGTCTTTGTCCTACACTTGTATGTGGACATGCGGGGACAGATGGGTACACGTGGGAGCATGTATTTACACATGCGAGTGTATGCGTGTACACGTGAGAGTACACGGAGGTGTGTGTGTGTTGGGTACACGTAGGGTTTCTTCCAAAGTCAGTAACAAGTACTCTGTGCAGGCGTTCGCTTGTACGGGGCACGTCTCCAAAGGGGCGTTGCATGGTCCTGGTGTAAACGCGTGGATTTGCAGCAACTCCTGTGGAATGGTGTGGCGATGTTAAAATTGCCAACATTCCGCATGGTGGTGCACCTTTTTGCACACCTCGTTCCCCTGCGAGTGACGGTTCCCCGCGTGCTGTTGTGCACAGTTTTTCCGCAAGGCAGGCGTCCCGGAGGCTCTTGACGAGCAAGACCTCTTCAACCTCGTGTCGGGTTTGTCGATCGCCGCCAAGGGTGAGGCAGAGTTCCTGGCCGAGGTGAGTTCTGCCAGCGACCGCTCAGCCCCACCAAGGGACTACTGCGTCACTGCTGCCCACCCCCACCCAGTGACTGCATTGTTGGGGGTGTACCCCCTCGTGTCGCCCCATGGGCAAGGAGTGGTTCACATGGCAGTGCTGGAGTGAGGAAGCTTTCTCTCACCGAGGCCCAAACAGGACTTAGTTTGACGGGCCACACATTAATACACCGCAGGTTGAGTGCACAAAAATGTTGCCCTCTAATACCCGTTTAGTGTAGCGTACATGAGGCTTGGCACAAACGATAAATGGCTCGTTCTTTTGCAGGTCATTTTGTCATGTTGCTGTGGTCCGTATTAAATAACATTGAAGGGCATAGGATCCCCCATCCCCACGGTAACGAGTGATTGTAGTGTGTAGTTGGTGTGGAGAGCGCATGGCTGCCAGCAGCTGTCCTTCAGAACTTGTCTTTCACAGCACCGATGACCACGACAGCCGCCGTCGCCAAAACAGCAGTGTCACGCTCATTTTGTGGTTGTGCTCAGGTGGAGCAGCAGGAGAAGATGCACGAAGGCCATGCGCATGGCTTGCGGAGGAAAGGTGTGGCTGTAAACCCCGCGGCGGTGGCGTCCCTTGCGCAGTGAGCGGTGACGCTCGCACACGGAGGAGTCCGCACCACGAGGATCTCGCTCGCACGCACACTCGCGCCTAACAATCGCCACTGTTGACAAAAAAAAGTGTTGTTTTAACGTGCCTGCGATTGGTGGAATCGGATGCTGGAGTGTCGTGCTTTGTGGGGATGTGTAATGAGCAAGATGATGATTGGTAAACAAAGTCAACCCCCACCGCTGCCTCGTTGTCCTGTGTGCGATGTGACCGACCAGCCTCTTACGCACGCGCAGCTTGCAATGGGTGTGTGGGAACAGTTCAGATAGTGGAAGGAAAAAAGTATTAGAAACACAAGTGCCTTTGCCAAAACAAATATTTGGCAATTTTTTTTCCCCCCTACAATTATTAGCTTTGGTCAGAGCAGATGCCCATATACTGAATACTAACATAATATGAATGAATGCAGTAGCAGAGTGAAACGGAGGAATGAGGATGTTTGGCAACTCAATCCGACTGCAGTACCCAAATGTGTGGGCGTATGTGTTTACGTATGTATTGACTGTCCACGTGTATTTATGTATTCCTTTATATGTGAATGTATACTTATCTGTGTGTGGGAATACATTAGCGTGCCTTTTGAGTTTAGTGAAGCTACACTAACGAGCAGAGTAGACCCACACGATGACTGATAAAAACGTGAGGCACTGAACATAGTGATGTGATATCAGCACAATTACATTTGTGATATTGCTTAATCATGCAATTGCTACAATAGATTTAGCAGCCCTTGCTCTACCCCACATGTACCACCCTGATTGGGTGACCGTTTGTACATTGTAAAAATGAACACCTAGCATATACAGGCAGTACGTTAACTTTACACTCCCATGACGTAGCCCATTACAGAAAGTAAAATGTTTCAAGGGATCCTGTGTGACCCTATCCAAACACCTGCATCTGTCCCGGGACAATGTCATCAACTCTCCAGACTGAAGCATGGATACCGTCATTTTTCATTAGAAGAGAGCTAAGCGCGAGTGTGTGTGTCGTGTAATGCTGGCCCTGCTGTTTGTTGAGCCCCATGTGACCAGAACACTGGTGTCGTGTTCATACATGTCGGAACAGCGTGCTTACGAATGAGACCCCGCAGTACAAGTGGCACTAACAAATACCCCATACATATGCAGTTGCCCATACTGCATAGCACATGTACCGGAAAGCACCAAGCTTGGCACAAATGCTACGGTGATGTGGAAAATGGCAGCTGTCTATATATGTGTGGTCTCTAACACCATTTACCCCAAGAGCCTATGTAAGCTATGTGGGCATCTTTTGTGTTTGCTAATATAATATCCGGCCACAGCTAACAGTGGTGATAAAAGGTGCTGGTATTCTGCCCAGTCCTGCACTGACCAACGTCAAGTATTATCAAAAACACCCCGTATAGTTCTGCAGCACACTGGTGTAACCATGCACCCCTATAGATGAAGGGTCATGGATATCCTACTTTTGGATTTCGTGGGTGCCAAACATTAATGTTGGAAACATACTTATACAGATAATGCAATAGTGGTAATAGTTTATCCAGAAATGCCTAGTGCAAACGAGACAATCTTTCCAGCAATGTCTCGACATATGATAGCATTTGGGGCCACTGACTTCACTCGTTTATGCTTTGCTGATAACCAATGCAGCACATGGCAGGAAGTGGCACTGACTTGAGACCAACCCTGGAGCTGCAAGTTATCTGGAATCCAGGCATGACCCCCGACCGTGCGCCCTCAGCAGTTGCTCGCTCAGGAGTCTTTTTAAGTTTTATTTTTTTGTCACCTCTGCAAACAGGAGCAGCACAAACTTTTGACTCTCCCAGGTCCTGGAAGATTGATGCTGTCAGGGGGTCATATCATGGGGTCAATTTAGATTTTTTGTTTCATCTTTTTGGCAGGGAGCTTGCTCGGCCCAAAATTGCAAGAGCCTCAATATTGAGGCCCCTGCGCTCGGTCACTAATTAAACGTCTCTCTGCTGTGCGCCCAGAGCTGTGAACACCAGAAACCAAGTGCGGCCAAAAACTGAAGGTCGATGAGTAACAGAGCACGACTAGCCAATCACACACTTGTACTGTATCCTTAACCCTACCAGGTATCCAACCATACACTAGTAATGGCCTTAACCAACTAGCCATCCAGCCACTACAAATCGCCTTCTGTCCTTAACTCTGACTAACCTTACACTGACCCCAATCCTATTTTAACCCCCTGCACTTCACTGGCCCCATTTTCACATTTTGCTCGCATCTCAATATTGGTGTTCACAGGATCCAGGACCCCAAACCTAATCCCCCACCACGAACCCTTGTGCCAGCTTATTGGGTACTGGGGTCCCCACCCCCAGCAGATGGGGGTATTGCAAGGTATGGGGTCAAGAGAGACCACAGTTTGCCCCACGTCTGTTTATGTGCTCTGTGCAGGAGCCAATACAATCAGGGCCATTGGGGGCAGGGTCACGTGGGGGTTATAGGTATTCAGTCTGCGCTATTAGCACAGGGCTGAGTACTATGTGCTACGAAAGCAACTATGGGTCTTAGGTCTGTGGCATTAACGTAAGGTGATGCATGTCAAGGCAGTGCCAGTAGACTGCTCTCCACTGATGGGGGTGTATGTGGCACTGGGCAGTGGTGAAACGCTTATTGGACCCAAACACTAACATTTTGTTCCTTCAGGGGCATTTTACAAAATACATCTTCGCTTTTCCATCGATACAAGTTGTCATGGTCTCAAAGGCATATTTAGGACAAAGTAAAAAAAAAAATACATAAAATAAACAATTTGCAATTTAAAATACAGAAACGCGTATCGCTGTTTGCCGTGGAAGTTGGCTGCTGGGGGTCGGGTCGTGTGCAGGCGTGAAATCATGTTGGCGCAGTGTAATAGGAAATGGGACTCGCTTGACCAAAAGCCGACGGAGAGAATTACAGCGACATAAACTTAGCGGAGTCTCTCGCCAAGTACAGAGACCCAGGAGAGTTATGGAATGATTCAGTGTTAAGAGTCTGCATAGCAAGTGGTACCTACATAATTGGAAAGATGCAGCTGGGAGCCACCATAACATTATGGTTACCTATGCCTCATGGTTGATGGCATGGGAGCATGGACACAGTAAAATCGTATTTCTGCATTAGACTGGTCGCTAAAAGCCTGGTGAATCGCCCTTCAGCCTGAACTGACCAGTGTGGTGAAGTATGGTCAAACAGCCCCCATAACCCATACGGTGTGGGCAGGCTGCACCTCTGATTAGATGGTTGGCTACGTACGGTGCAAAATAAGTTCAAGTTCAACATACAAGCGTTCATCCAGCAGTGGATTGCTAAAGGGCTGTAAATTATTGTTGGTGATGAGAAATAATCCTTCACTTCCCATGATCATCATGCCTCCAGCACAAGTGTCCTCAGCCAGCAGCCGGCTAACCACACAAGTCAACGGTCACTGTTGTTGGGAAAGCAATCAAAGGCAGCAAAAAGCAGGAGTTTCTCAGTCCCTAGCTGCTGCTAAAACCTTGCCCTGGTCCCAACTTGGGCAAAGCAGCACCTTAGATGGTCATGTGAAGGCATCGCGAATGGCTGCTGTGGGGTCGTGAAGAGCAGCTGCCATCATCTCTGTGTTTAGGCGCTGCAGGTCAACAGGCAGCAACAGCCCTGCTTTCCATCCCTCGATCGTCTTCCCCAATTTCATTCAGAGCATTTTGGGCCCACGGGAGGCGCGCACGCACACACACAAAGCTGGGCGTGCGTTACACGCGACAGCAGGCTAACTGGTAAAAACTTAACATAAACGCTGCATTTCAGTTCAAATTTTGCACACGCGCGACGACGCAGATCATTGCTCGAGGCTGTAAGGCGACAACACAATGACCTTTCTGCAAACATATTAGAAAAGATATATTATAAAACAGCAGAATATAATAAAACAAACTTCCCTGTTCCAGTTAATATTTCTCTGTAACTGCTCTACATAACTGATTGGCGTTTGCAGTGGGCTTAACGATGCAGCGCAAGTCAACGTGACTTGCCGGGGGAGGTCATTACTGCATAGCTCAAGGACACCTGGCCCAGTACGGGCAACGGCGCCCGTCCCACGCTCACTGCACCAGCGACGCAGGCCGCACCGTCCGCAGCATCTCACTCACCGGGTGAGCCAACCGTGGAAACAACCATCGCCGCTTTGTAAAAAAAACTTTTCCCCAACGTTCCCGGCTTCCATTCCCGCCGCGTCGTGTCGCCTCAATAGGCGCTTGCAGTCACGTTTGGCAGCACCCACTCTGAAAACGGGTGACGGTGGTGGGGACAGCGGCAGTGTTCAGGACTGGGGGGACCCGGCTCGCTCACGCAAGGCGGTTTGGAGCGAGGTATTCCCCCCGTGCTTGGCACCGCATGTGCAATCGCCACTTCTCATTTATGCGCAGTCTCGTTTTCCATGAAAATTTTTCCTCGCGCAATCTTCTCACTTTCGCTCACATGTTCTCATGGGCAAAACGAATTCTCGTATATTTATATATAAATCATGTTAATTATTGGCTTGTTACTTGTGGAAGCGCTGGTGAAGGCGGGCCCTACGAGGGCCCTGTGCTGGGTAATCCACGAGAGGCGCAGCAGCAGCAGCCACCTCTTTTTCCTTGGCTGCCGTCACCACCATCAGGAATCCCGGTTAGCTACAGAACCACACACACAGACACGAGGAGCAGAAGGGCGCTCAAATGACAGGCAGCGCACATGCCACTGGCTGTAGCAGCTTACCCAGGTAGAGCAAGCGGTAATTAAGAGCAAGAATGTGAACCGCACAGCACACCGCGCACAAACAACAAAAGGCAGCAAGAATAACCACTGGTCAAAAACGCCACTACCGCTCTTTCCAGTGACAGTGCAAGCGACTGATCCAGACACGCACACTGCACGCATGATAGTGACCCGCAGCCAGATGCGTTCTCTTGGAAGTTTTTTTTTGGAATTGGGGCCACGGTTTTGTCCAGTTGAGAGGGCGTCTGTTGCTCCTGCGTGCGGTCCCATGCGGGCGATGCAAATGATGGTGTTTTGCGAACGGCTCACACACAACATCACAGCACGGCACACAAGCGAGCGCACGCGTGCGCGGCACACTTGCCGGGCAGTCACCGCCGACGTCAAAAACTGTACTCAACATCAGAGTCGATCAGAGACCAGGTCCACTGGCGGGGGGCCATGTCGGGCCACCTGCAGGGGGTGGCCACAGGGACACTGCCGCGTCAGGGTCATCGCCCAACCAACAGTCACCATCACGTGTGTGCTGTAGTAGCGTTTGTGTCTGTGCACGGAGGACCAGCCCAAACTTTCACAACACAGAAAGACACATGCATTTAGGTGTACACACACATGTGAAAACACATACACACAGGCCAGAGCGCCCGATCTCCCACTGCATCATACCACACACCTATACAAAGACAAATATTCCCCGTAGAGCCTTAACTGACTTTTGGGCAAGTGCTGTTAGCGAGCACCTACGAAGTCCGGCACGGCACACAAGGGGATGGGTAGCCAGCACGCCTGATGGCCTTTTACTCCGTAATACTGATGTATACACACCGCACCAGGTACTCATTTGAGGTTAGGTCGACCTAGGCGAGGCCCAGGACTGGTTCAGATAATCTTCACCGTGAGCAGGAATAGAACTCGTTTCACCGGGTTAGTAGCGCAGCACGCGAACCGCTACACTCCCGCTCCCCACACACGTACACAGACACACATGGCATGGCGCTCCGTGGTGTCCCCCCCTCCCCACTGTCGTCACCGTACCTGGGCTTGGGCTGTGCCAGCTGGCGGCTACTGCGCCGGAAGCTCTGGTTGACCTGAACACGAATGGACGAGCGCGGGGAGGAGCGCACAAGCGTCGAGCCGCCACCACCACCCTCCATCGCCGGAGGCTTCTTGGGAATCTTCTTGACGAGGCGATTCACCCACTTCTTCTGGTCCTCGGGCGAGCCGGCCAGCAGCAAGATGTCCTTGGCCGACGCCACGTCGAAGTTCACTGTGGACAGGCGGACAGACACAGCGTGCACAACCGCCGTGGTTGAGGATCGCCGGGAGGAGGGGGGATGGGCAGTGGGAAACTTACACAGGCTAGCAAAGCTTGCTAACAAAACGTCAACCCTTATCTAATCGCTTCTGGAGCTATGCCTGCGCATGTGTTGGCTGTGCAAGGCAATCTCCAACAATAATTCAGTCTCTTCGTCTTCATTGAAAGACCATTGCCCAAAACATGTCTAATACAATACATCTGTTTTAAGGTGGTGAGTTTTTTTTTATTGTGGTCGAAGTGGAATATAAATAAGAGTCAAATGCTCTCCACATACGCTCTGTTCTTTTGACGATCGAACATTACCAGGGCAGCACCTGCAAGAACTGCTATCCTCTGGACAATTATAGGTTTTCATGCCGACTTTGAATGCTTTAGAAATAATAAGTGATAAGTATCTTAATAAAGTCAATATATCTAACTTGCAATGTTCTCTAATCCATGTGTTCCTCACTCCATCTCTTGGTGAAATTCCAAGCAGTCTAGGACAGAACAAGGCGCTAGAAGGGATGACGGCCAGTGGACGAAGCGAATGACGGGTTTGCAACCCAAGGAGTGATGAGATCAGCTAGAGTGCAGGTACTAGAGAGGTTGTTGCATCAGGAGACTTTGAGGGATGGCGATGGCTTAGGTAGGCCTTCAACTTGCAGTGGACTTACCATGGCTGATAATAAAAATCTTTAAATGGACCCAGGCACGTTAACACGTTTCTTGTTATATTCTTAGTTTTTTAGGTAAAGTCACGTTGAAGAGAAACAACAAAATAATAAAATATATATAAAACAATAAAAAAATTCTCACGACGTTTCGACCATAACTCAAACGGTCGTCTTCAGGTGTGTTGGTTCACACCTGAAGACGACCGTTTGAGTTATGGTTCACACCTGAAGACGACCGTTTGAGTTATGGTCGAAACGTCGTGAGAATTTTTTATTGTTTTATATATATTTTATTATTTTGTTGTTTCTCTTCAACGTGACTTTACCGAAAAAAACTAAGAATATGAATTACTGCAGTCACGAAAGCTTTAAATCAAAACGTTTCTTGTTGTTTCACCGACGACGATAATGACCGCTCTAACCTGACACTGGCTTTGCTACCCAGGCACGCAATGTCCCACATGAAATTGCCGCAACCCTCTCGCTGCACACAAACACACACACACCTTTACAGGGCGCTATGACCTCCTCCTTGCGGTCCAGGTGGTCCCTGTGGCACTTGACGTGGCAGCGCCGGCACTCAAGTGCAGGTGGCGGCTTGAACATGTTCCACAGCGGCTTGGTGCAGGCCTCACAGCTGGCGGGGAAGTGGTAGATGGTGGGGATGAACTCGTGGCCCTTGTGCGGCACGCACACATCACGGTCCTTCTCGCTGAGCGGCGCCAGCGGCTCCAGCGGGAACTCCAGCTCCTTGCGGCTTTCGCCCTCGTTGGCGTAGAGGATCTGAAGGTGGGCACACGCGATGGGTATGCACGCATGCACACACGTACGCACGTGAGTGAATGGGCACAAACGCATCCTACAACTTCCCGACAATCAGATCTTAAACTGATGCGGTGCTCCAAGTGCATAAATTTGTTATGTTTGACCGACCCAGATAGATCCGGCAGAAAATAATCCACGGTTACGAGGGGTGCCAGGTAACTATCGGCCACACAGTGGAAACAGCCTTAACGCACTCTATGATGTCACGGTGAGGGCCGAGTCAACGTTCATGAGGATTTGGACTTTTATTATAGCAAAGACATCAGGGATGTATATTTGTAGGATAGTTAAGCCCGCTCTGCTGCGTTGTCCACCGTACCTGGAATATCCTGGGAATGTCCTTGGCCTCAGCGCGGTAGACATCGCCCTGCGTCACCGGCCGCACATGGAACAGCTTGCTGCATGCGCAAGCACAGAGAGGTGACCGTTAGGGAGCAAGTTACATTGGTGAAGTGGGAACTCCAAATCTTTAGGTGCACGTTCACATGCAGCAGGGCCACACAGGCCACTCACTCGATGTCCAACACCATGTAGGGAGTGGAGAGCTCCTTGTCCTGCTCGTCGTTGTAGAACAGGATCTTCTTGCTGCTCACCACCACGTACTGAGCGCAAAGGGACACGCGGCGTTACGCTCCGAACACAGACCCGACAAAGGCAAGTGAGACCACAACAACCACAATGCAGGGTGGCCGGCAGCCGGCCTCAGTTGTGTGGTGCGGGTAGGGAGAGTCAAGCAACGCTCACCTGCTTCTTCCAGCCGTAGCGCTTGATGTTATTCTTGTTTGGGACAGAGAGCCAGCCCTCCAGACGCGTCTCTGCAAAACAGCAATGGCATTGAGTCAGAGATAAACACAAGACGATGGGAGGGGTCTAAACCCACCCTCTGCTGAACAGGGCTTTATTTTTTAAGTAATATTTTCCAGGTCGATGGTACACCATAGTAGTTTGCACGAGACTAGTAGCCACAGCCATAATGAGAGGTATACTGGACGTCGTGTACTGGTCGATGACCCAGACAGACCACCCGACTGAATGAAGCCATGGTCCTGAGACATGTGGCGTTAACAGTCGAACAGCAGTGGCAGCAGCAGCCTTAAGTCTCTTGAGCAGATTACAGCCAAGGCTGATTTAACAGGCAAGACGGACTGGAGTTTTATGTGACTAAGAAGCAATGTTTGCGTGGTTTATGTGGTACAGAAAACAGGGTTTTCCAAGGGTCAGTTATTCAGCATTTTGTGGGTTCCAGGTTTGGGGTTTAGTGTTTAGAGCTCAGTGACCAGCTGCATAAAAATACCTCAAACATCTAACATTTTGCTGCACTGCCCTCTCCTGCCAACGTAGCTGCCCTCACCCTGCGCTGCTTTAAATTAAGAGGGGCAGAGGGCACAGCGAGCGGGACTCACCGGGTCCCCCCTGCAGCGAGTCGTCGTCGGCGCCGTCCCCATGGCCGCTACCGATGCTTGTGGTGTCAATGCCGACCTGCAGTGCCTGTAGTCGCTGCCGCAGCTGCTCGATATCACTATCCTTGCTGTCCAGCGCCATCTGCAGCTCGATGCGCATCTGGCTCTCCTCGGCGATTTGCTGCGGTGGGGACGACGGTGGTATGTAAAGAGCGGGGGTGGTGGCGGCAGTTGTGGAGGTGGAGGAAGCAACACGTAGTTAGAAGCGACGACAGAACGCAACCTCGTGTAGCCGCACTGATGGGTGTCAAATACACGATATGATCTGTCGAGCCATTTTTACAACACAATCGATGAGTGGCATCATCCGGAGTTGAAGATTCCCGCAGTAGTACATGGCGAGGAAAAATGCTCAAAAAACAGTGGCTGTGAAAACCTACGCACTTTACGGCTCTAAACTTACATCTCGCGTCTGGGTTCTGGACACGTTGCTTAACGAATACGCATGGAGCTATGGCACTCTGTAAGATGTGGCTCGCTGAGACATGAATATATACAGATTAGTGAGGTGAAATACAGACAAGAGAAAACCTGGAGACAAGTTATAGATTAGTAAAATAAAAGAGATAAGCAAGAAGTCGAGATAAGAGCACTGGGGATAAGAAATACAGACGAGTGGTCACGTGTAGGATGTCGTAAGATGTCACATGGCGTCGTTGCATGACTCACCAATACCCGCTAATTTCATGATGAAGCCAGCCAAGTCCGAAAGCGGTAGAGAACAATTCCTTGTGGATGAATCAATCCCTGGGTGTAAGCGTTGCCGGCACTAAACTCAGGTGGCTGTACTCACGGCCTGCATGTCGTTGACCTCGCGCTGGTACTTGGTGACCAGCTGGTTGAACTTCTCGCGCTCCTGGTTAAGCTCCAGCTGGAGCTTGCGGTTCTCCTTCTCCTTGCGCTTCAGGTCGGTGCTGCTGCCGCGCTTCCGATCCAGCCTTATGTCCTTGCGGTTCATGATCTCGGCAAGCTTGTTCACGGCCTGCGTGGCGGCACCAAACGTGTTAAAGCATATGTCCGCACAACGGGTGTGCCATGACGTACGACCTGCAACGTGGTTTTGACCAGTCCTCAACCACCAGGGTTACACACTCACAATCAAAAACAAATATACACTCGACACGCAAAAACACACGCAGCACACCGCTATAGGTACTGAATGCGTATGTCATCGCTGTGGATACGACAGGAGCCGCACACGGCGCCACACCCAGCGTAACGCGATGCAACACGGGACGACACAAGGAAATGTGGCAACGGCGGCGGTGGCAGTGACATCGAACCTGAGTCTTGAGTGTTCGCTCCGTCTGCAGCTGCTTCTCGTACTGAGCCTTGAGCTGAACGATATCCCTCTCCTCCTCCTCCACGTGAAGCATTTCTACACATAGCAACGCCGCCTATGAGCGAGGCATCCGGCTTCCGCCTTTTCCAGACCCCAGCTGCCACTGAGGCCCTAATCCACGCTTTCACATCACAAACCTCTGATGTCAATCCCCTGGCCTTGTTCAAGTTAATGCGCAAGTTTATTTAGAGGTTATATAAGACATTACAAGTGAATACATCTGGAGCAAATATCCCATTTCCAGCCACGGTGCCAAAGGGCGGACCGGTCGAGCCGCATCGCACCGAGCGGCCACGGCAGGCGCGAGCGCGGCAACGTACCGTCATGCATTTTCTTGAGCCGGTTATTGAGTTCCTCTTTGTCATTGGCGAGCGCAGTCACGTCGGCCGTGAGCGTCTTGTACGCCTCCTCTAGCTGCTCTCGCACACACAGACCGCGAAGCTGCTCAGACGGGCGCGCAAACTCCAAAGTGCAAGGGTGCACACGCTACGAGGGGACCAACGAGGTCATATTGATGACGGGTACATTTCAACACTTCCTCATGTGCTTCGGGGAAGTTTCAGACGCTAATAAAGATTTACGAGGTGAACGTCATGTTCCATCATTATAACCAGTCAATAGTTTCTATTGCAACTGTCGGCTGCTGTGTGCTGTCCAGGCCATGAGCGCGCTGCTACCATAATGGAAGCCAATGAGAGCGGGGCTGCCCCGCGTGTGGGAGTTAAGTGCCGCACAAGAGCCTATGCCGGTAAGTCAGTGTGTCTGAAAGGAGTGAGCGCTATCTCTTAATGCAGGGGTACGGAACTTATGGCGCACGACTGAATTTTCATGTGGCCACACATGGGGTCTACACTCGGGAATGTCCCAGAAAAACAATACTTATCCATCGCCGAGCAAGCATCTTAGCCAAACTAATCACGTATAATCAGGGAATATTTTAAACCTGACAACACTTAAATATTGATTTAAAGCTCTCGTGACTGCAGGGATTCATATTCTTGGTTCTTTCGGTAAAGTCACGTAGAAGGGAAACAATAAAATAATAAAAATATAAAACAATAAAATTCTCACGACATTTCGATTGCAACACAAGCAATCATCATCACGTGTGAAAACCACAGCAAGAAAATTAAAAAAAAAGTGTCGGTTTTTTTAACGTTAGCACCATGGAGAGCGATTTGGCAGTTATTCAGATGGACGAGTCCATTTATGTTCGGAAAAGAGGAGGGGGGAGACGAAAATAATGGATGCGGTCTGAAAGCCACCGTAAGCGTGAACAATCAATTAAGACCCGAAATGGTTTATCAAATCCTTCCAATGATTGCTAAGCCAGAATCCATCTTCTCGGTTGAAATTGTCTCTGGGTTTGTATATGTGGATAGCCTCATGAACGAATCTCTCATGGTAGCCAGATGGCTTGCAGAGAACCTCTGTCTTGGATAAGTCAATGTCATGTGAGCCTACTGAAATATAACAGTGATCTGCCACGGCCGAGGTGTTGGTCCTACCGTGTTTTAGGTCTGCTTTGTGTTCGCGGATGCGGTCCGAGACATGTCGTTTGGTTTCTCCAATGTAACTACTACCACAGAGGCCAGGGTACTGTATGTCCGGAATCACATCTTTTACAGACAGAACCAGATCACGGATTTTATGTAATGTGTTGAATCGGACCTGGATCTTGTGTTTATTCAAGATTTTGGAGATCTCTTTTGTGATCCCCGCAATGTAGGGTAAAGTGATGGTTTTGAATGGCTCCTCAAGAGGGTCCTTCTTCATGGTTGGAGTGATAGCTTTGCGGATTGTGTAGTCGGAGTAACCATTAGCCTTAAGAGCTTGGTGTACACAAAGCAGACCTAAAACACGGTAGGACCAACACCTCGGCCGTGGCAGATCACTGTTATAATTCAGTAGGCTCACATGACATTGACTTCTCCAAGACAGAGGTTCTCTGCAAGCCATCTGGCTACCATGAGAGATTCGTTCATGAGGCTATCCACATATACAAACCCAGAGGCAATTTCAACCGAGAAGATGGATTTTGGCTTAGCAATCATTGGAACGATTTGATAAACCATTTCGGGTCTTAATTGATTGTTCACGCTTACGGTGGCTTTCAGACCGCATCCATTCATTTCGTCTCCCCCCTCCTCTTTTCCGAACATAAATGGACACGTCCATCTGAATAACTGCCAAATCGCTCTCCGTGTTGCTGACAACACTTGTTTATAGTTTGCAGTAACTGAAGTGACCAAGGTGTGTGTGCGCGCTCACGTGTGAATCGCCCAACTTGAATTTTCAATTCCTATTTAGCTCTCATTAAAATAAGGATGCTCATCCCTGCTCTATTGCCAGTTATCATGCAAAACTTTTGTTGGACATGAAGTCATGGGGTAACCTTGCATTCGAGTGCTCACACGTCACTCCTGCTCACCGCAGACCTTAGAATCATGCACTCGTGTACACTTGCGTGTGGATCCGACTGTAAATGTGTGCATGTGCGTTTTGCATGCATGCTTGTGTCTGTGTGTGCAGGAAGTTAGTGAAGGACGCTACTGGGCAGTTGGAGGCAGCTGCCCTCCAACATCAAAGGAGTACGGAGGAGCGACGCTCACAAAAACGAGTGGTGCATCTGCCAGTCATCTCAGTCAGTTCACCCATAACCCCTGGATCTGTCCCGTGACCTCCAGCCAGTGAGCCTTTACCACTGCATGTGATAGGCCGAATGTGCACCTAGCCTGGCACAAGCGCCGTGTGGCGTCCCCGTCACTTCGTGGAGAACGGCAGCTGTGAGGCGCGCGTGAACGCGTGCGATGCCGTGCTCGTCCCACCGAAGTGATGGTGTGGTCTTTGGCAGCCATCTCGTGCTTGTGGCGGCTCAGCATCTCCTTGATCTCCAGCTCCTTCATGATCTTCTCCTTCTCCAGGTCCGAGTACTGCTCCTCCGCGATGGAGCGCGCCAGCTGCTCTGAGTCCGCCTTGGTCACCGTGATCTCCAGCTGCGCCGCCAGCGAGTCCCTGCCACAACACGAGTGAGCGTCACTGCGTTACAACTGAACTTGTAGCGTCGCTCCTCGTCAATTAATCAAATCAAAGTTGCCAGCAGCTGCTTATTTGTGATTGCTCAGTTCTCTTTAAAAATGGTGGCCATACTGACGAAATACCTTTGGAAGGCGGGAAACCCCCCTACAGGTTGTGCCCAGTCATACGTGACTGATGATGATGCCAATGTCACCAATCCTCTGAAGTGGTCGCTAGCAGCACTGGCCGCTGGTCGAGCTAATGGCGAGCACGCACGTTTGTGTTCGTAAGTGTTATAAGAACGGACGTCGTACGTCTGCCGCTCAGGGTTTTTGTATTGCTACTCTTTGGTTTTATTCGGTAAAGTCACGTAGGTAAAATAAAGTAAAATAAAAGAAAACAATTAAATCACGACGTTTTGGAGGCAACACAAGCTTCCGTCTTCAGGTGGAATAGTCACAGCAGAAAATCTGTGTTGAGTACACAGCTCTGAGACGATCGGGTTTATATATAGGTTAAGGGGGTGGGAAGGAGTCAGAAAGGGGCGTGGGTGGGTGGGAGGGCTGAGTCAAGCCGCCTTTTTTGTTAAGCTGCAGGGGGTTCGGGTGGAAGGCTGTGGTGGACTGCCAACACATGCGGAAAAAAAAATCTAAAGTTTGGTATACCACCACTGAGAATTGCTGTACAATTAAAAGGCAGCTAACGTTTGACTGGATTTATAACATCTTTCCAATGGTTGCTTGATTTGAAACCATCCTCTCAGTTGAAGTTGTGTTTGTATATCTGGATGGCCTCGTGGACAAATCTCTGATAATAACCGGTAGGTTTGCAGAGTACCTTGGTATCGGAGAAAACAATATCATGATCACCCACAGCGTTGTAACAGTGATCAGCCACGGCAGAAGAATTCGTTCTGCCGTGTTTCAAATCTGATTTGCGCTCGCGAATTCGGTCAGAGATATGTCGCTTCGTCTCCCCGATATAGCAGTCACCGCAGGTACAACTACATTTGTAAACACCGGGGTACTGTAAGTCAGGAATAACATCCTTCACGGATGGGATCAGATCACGGATTTTGTGCACTGTGTTGAACCGGACCTGGATCTTGTGTTTGTTTAGAATTTTGGAAATCTTTTTAGTAACGCCTGCTATGTATGGTAACGTGATGATTTTGATCGGAGTGTCAAGTGGTTGTTTCTGTATGGTGGGAGAAACAGCTTGGCGGATGGTACGGTCAGAGTAACCGTTCATCTTGAGGGCCAGATGTACATGTTTTAATTCACTGGTCAGGTGGTGTTGGTCAGAAATGCAATGAGCCCTATGGTATAACGTTTTGATGAGAGAATTTTTCTGAGTCGGGTGGTGGTGGGAATCAGGTTTCAAGTAGGAGTCTGTGTGGGTGGGCTTCCTGTAAACAGAATGTCCCAAAGAGCCATCAGACCTTCTCTCAAACAGAACATCCAAGAATGGCAGCTTGCCATCTTTCTCCACTTCCATGGTGAATTTGATGGGTGTCTGGAATTGATGTGGTCGAGGAAAAGGTTCAAAGCTGGGAGGCCATGTGGCCAAATGACAAAAGTGTCATCCACATATCTCTTCCACAGGGAAGGACTGAGGGTGGATGTCTGGATGGCGTCCGATTCAAATTTCTCCATGAAAACATTGGCTATCACTGGTGATAAGGGGGAACCCATGGGGGTACCCTCATTTTGTTTGTAGAAGGTGCCATTCCAAGTAAAGTAGGTGTTGGTGAGGCAGTGCTTAACCAACACAGGTACATCGGGGTCTAGTCCATGTTGGACCAGATCTTCGATTATTGTAATGGTATCAGGTACTGGGACCTTGGTGAACAGAGAGACCACATCAAAGCTGACGAGGATATCGTCAGGAGACAGTACAATGTCCTTAACCATAGAGACTAATTGGGTTGAGTTAAGTACTGCTGAGGTGGTCTTGCCAGTGAAGGGAAGCAGAGTATCTGACAGAAAACGGGCCAGCTTGTAGGTAGGGGAGTTGATAGTGGACACGATGGGTCGTAGTGGGGTACCTTTTTTATGGATCTTGGGAAGACCATAGAATCTGGGAGGTCTTGCAACGGAGGGTTTTAGGGAGGGACGTTTGGTTGGTTCGATTAGGGAAGTCTAACTTGTGATGATCTTGTTGGTTTTTATTGTAAGGCTGTTAGTAGGGTCATTTTTAATTTTTGAGTAACTCCCATCATTGAGTAGGTCCTGGATTTTGTTGTTGTATGAGTTTTTATCCATAATGACAGTGGCAATGCCTTTGTCGGCCGAGAGGATGACTATATCATCTCTCTTTTTTAAATTCGCTAGTTCAGAGCGTTCATTTTTGCTGATGTTGCTAATGGGTTTCTTAGCATTCTTAAGAATAGTGGCTATTTCAGCTCTCGCAACGTCTGCTTGGATGTGTCCTATGCTTTTGAGGGCTACATCGACCTGAGACATGATATCCTCTACTGGTATATGTTTTGGGGTGACAGCAAAATTTAGCCCTTTTGTATTGCATCCGATCCATGGGTAGTGTGGCCCATGGCCAGGTTTAACGAAGGCCAAGCCAGGTCGTAGACCTTTAGGAAGGACTCCTACTCCACTCCTGAGAGGGCTGCTTTGGATAATAATTGGGTATCCTAGCTGTACACTCAATGCTCTACAGGCTCGAAAGCGGTTCCTCCAAAGTCAAGCTGAACCACAAGTCCCGAGCGCTGAACTCAACACTGACCCGGGCCCCCACGGCCACCTCCTCACCTCTCTTCCAGCATCTCCTGCATGCGCTGCTGCTGCTCCTTGGTGGTGTTGAGATTGTCCTCGCACTCCTCCTTGAGCTCCCTCACCTGAGTCTTATACAGCGTCTGCACACACAGCACAAGTCACTTCTATACTGATGTCACTGATACAACGCAACACAGCATGCGGCTTAATGTAGCATCTCAATGTGACCACATCTCAATCACTGTACAGAAGCAGTGGCCATAATATTTTTTGTAGAGAGAAAGAGGTCGTCATATGTCTCTATGAGTCAAAACGTTCCTACAAGTCTGAGTATGGGCATCTTTATGGTCACATCTTAAAACGCTTTACAGAAAGTGGGAATATTCATTGTGTAGAGAGAGGCAAGCTGTCAAGGGTAAATGAATAAAAAAGGTGTTCAGCCTGGACTTGAGTATGAGAAGGGAGTCAGCAGCCCAGCCGGGGAAGGGTACCAGAACATGGGGCAGCAGAAGGGAATGACCGACCTCCCACAGAGCATAAAGTTGACTGGGGATTTCTTGGCTGCTGGAGCCCTGCTGGAGCTCAATCCCATCAGATCGAGGAAGCTAAGGAGGAGTCAGCCAGGGCTTGCCGGGTTTAGGTTGAGAGGTGGCCAAAAGATTGCAGTGCAGCAATGGATTCTTGAATCTATTTGTGCAGAGCTATTTGAATGTCAGCCCCACATTAACAGTATGGCCAAAAATCACCGTTGTTGTCCTAAAGCACATTAGACATTGTTTTCTTTGGTTCTTTCGGTAAAGTCACGTAGAATGAGAATAAAATAATAAATTGATCAAATAAAATAACACAATAATATTATATTAATTTATTGTGTTATTATTGTGTTATTTTATTTTATCAATTTATTATTTTATTCTCATTCTACGTGACTTTACCGAAAAAACCAAAGAAGATGAATCCTTGCAGTTATGAAAGCTTTAAATCGAAATAGACATTGTTTATTTTGACTGTTTCATATTCACATTTTATAAACAGTGAATGCTAGAGGACCGGGTTGTGGATCAGGTTATTCTGCAGTTGTTGAAGCACTGGTTGGTATGATTATGAGTTCCTCCTCACTTGTGACTCAGTGACCGATTGCTTCAGGAAACAATAAAAACCACAAACCCACTCTATGTCTTCACTCCCATTTTATGCAGGTACATAATAAATGCCTTTTTATGGACCCGTTTGCATGTTTTGTATTCATGGTAGTTTAGCTTCATCCAGGCCATCCCTTCCCACGTCTCATGACCTGGGATAATTGATAGTCAGCGATAACATTGGTAATAAGCAAGCATTAGTCACAGTAAATGGACCTGGGCAGGACACGTGTCCAAACGGGATGGTGGTTGGACGAGACTGGTAACAGACTGCCAATCACAGGAGCAATGAGATTAGTTCATGTGCGCGAGTGAGATCGAAAGCAGCGGCACTGGACCACGAGAGATGGCGACAGCATCGGGAAAGTCCTTCATCCAACAGTGGATAGATAATGCTTTATGGAAAAAAGTTACATGGCATACACTGTGTGCTATTGAAGAAAGTAATAGCCTCAATTACCAAATGATCCTATTGTCCTCAAAGAGCCAAAACAGCCTCAAGGAGTTACGAAACTATTTTTCATGAGGACCCTGCACTGAGGTTTTTGTAAATTGCATGTTGGTATAAACCAAAGAACCCTGGAGAAAACCCAGCACACATACAAAGGGATAAAACTCAAAAGGCCCACACAGATGGACTAATTTCCTGGTCATGTAGCAGCCCAGTGGGTTTGGCGGTTTCCCAATTCCAAGCGGTCATCACGGGTGTGCAGGCGTAGGTTACGAATGACAGTGGTCAGGCTCCATTCAGAGTGCCGATGGAATGCGGGCTGAGGGTTATGATGTAAGACAGTAAAGCGCTCTTTAAATACCTATTAGCTAAACCTGTCTGTGGAAATATGTGAAAATAGAGGAACGCCAAATGGTGCTAAGGCTAGAAGTGCCTCTGCACGTCATGACCCACCTGACAAAAGTTCAACCTTGGCTACAAATGTCTAAAAATACCAATGCGAGTGTTTGTTCCATTTAAAAGATAAAATACTTACAGAGAAATACTGCTCGGTCTCCAGCTGGTCCTGAAGTTCACGCATCTGCCCATCGGTCTCGTACCTCTCCCTGCCAAAGCAGTCGCCAACATCAGCGCGAGTGTCAAAAACGTGTCAGCGGCTCACTCGCCGAGTTAAAGCTGGTGGCAGAGGCTCGGGGTCATACAGGCAAGTGAGCGAGCGTACGGGCAAGCGAGTGCGTTGCCGGGTGTCTGCAGCGGAGAACAGCGCGAGTGTTGTGCCGCGTACTTTCGCATATCGGCCAGCTGTTTCTCCAGTGCCTGCTTCTCGCCCATCAGCAGGTTTAGCTCCTGCTTGAGCGCCTTCTCGCTGGCACGCAGCCCACCCAGTTGCTGCGACTGCTGTTTGAGGTCAGTGGCTGTCAGCTGCCGCTTCTGGCTCTCCTGTTCCATCCGCAGTAGCAGGTCCTTGAGCTGCCGTCGACATCGATCGATCACGGTCAGAGCAAAGTGACGACAGTGAGATGCAGCCTACCGCTCACCGTTGCCTGTCGGTTCTGTTTAACGTCTCGGGGAAATGGCAATACCAATATTCCAAACAAGCACCTGATCATCACCGATCCCACAAAAGAACCTACAATGATATAATCTATTGTGAAAACAATGGTGCACATCAAGAGAATTCGCACATGTCACGGCCGATCAGCCGACCACAACCTTCTTCAGAAATGGAAATTCAAAGCAAGCCCAGCATGGGATTGCCGAAACATAGACCAGACTATTCACCACACGGTAGCAGATAACTGTGAACTAAAAAAACTGAATGGAGGCATCAAAGAAATCCACTGCACATCAACTGAAGCTATTTCCTGTCTAAACCACTCTGGACGACGATTGTGACGTTATTTATTCGGCCATAAGCAGGAAGAACCATTAATCGGTGGAAAATACAGAATTGCAGTGCCTCTCCTCATCTTCGATCATGTCATCGCCGACTCACCTCTTTGTCGAGCTTGTCCTTGTGCCGTCCCAGCTGCTCCCCACGCTGCACTGCCTGTTTTAGGTCAAAGTCGAGCATGGAGCAGCGCTTCTCCGCTTCCACCAGCTGGCTCTCCGCCTTCTGGCGCATCGCCCGCTCCTCCGACAACTTCTTCTCCATCTCTACAAGCAGGCAAGCGTCGCGACCACAACACACGGCGCAGTCTTTCTTTGGGGATGCTAAGGCTCCTTTTAGGCAGCAGTTCCTCATCATCAGCCATGATCAATCCACGTATGGATAAAGGCCTCCCAAGACCATCGAAATTTTGCAAGATCCTGCTATGTAACAATCTAGCTAGCAAAGTCCTCTCAGGCACTTTCTATCCCCTGTCGCTCCATAATTATTCTTTACCATCGGCCATCAATCCCTCCTTCCAGTGATGTGTCCTGCCCAGGCCCACTTAGTTTCCTGCACAGCTTGGCTGATGTCTTCTACATGCATTTGTGCTCTAATCCACACAAGCCTCTGTGTGAATTAGAGCACTGAGATAACTGGAATCCTTACTGATGGAAAATGATGGAAAGTGACATTTGACTTTGTTTCACAGAAAGCCGATGATTGGCACATAACCGAGATATTTTACATTCCCATGAGCGGTCGGTCTGTGTTTGGCCCAGCTGGGTGCAGTGCGCCTGTGGGCCTCACCATTCATGGCCTCGGACTTGGCCTCCTCGATGGATTCGTACTTCCGGTTCTTGTCGGCGATCCAGGCCTTGGTGGCCTTGTGCTCCGCCACCTCTCGCTCCAAGCTTTGCTGCAGGGTGCTCAGCTTGTAGTTGAGCTCTATCTGCACACTGTTCTTTTCCTGAAGGGTGGAGACAGGGGACATGATGATGTCAGTGTGACAGCCAAGGTCTGAGTCTGGTTATGCGACAAATCTAATTCTTGCATGAACTAGTTTTTTTCACATTCCTTTTTTTAAAGTTGAAATTTTTTGTCATGCAGTTCTATTTGGCAAATTTGCCAAAATATTTTAACATCGTATAATAATCTTAAATAAAAGTATCCATGAATTGAGCCTGGACCACCACACAACATAAATGCAACACAGCTCTCGCTCTAAGCGCGGTAGCACGCGGAATGAGAGCAGCTAAGATAAGACTGCATCTCCAGTGGCCACATGGCGATTCATCCCATGGTGGTGGATTGTCAGGATTGGGAGCTGCAATTTAAGTTTCTTTTTGACCTCATGCAGTACAATTTAGTTTGCCCTTTAGCCTAAAGAAACACCACCTTTGGAAGAGGCAATAATCGATTCCCACAGGTGCAATTCGAGCAAGTGTTGCGAGTGTAAGACTCAATTTAAATGAAGGCAGACGAATTTTCACACGCAGGATCTAGATTTGCCAAATTTGAAAAATCATACGCAAATGACTCAATTGGAATGTACATAGCCCTGAAAAAGTCATGATAATCAGTGAGCCTTTCCGAGGTAAACAAGCTCAATAATAGGAAAACAAAAATAACCATCACAGATGCAGCAGCCACTCTACAAGAGACAAACATCAGTTCACACAAGTTTCTACAGGCTCGCAACGCAAAAGAAATAACAGGTTCCACGGCTGGGTTAATGTTTAACACAATAAAGGGGCTAAACTAAGCTGGCAAGTTAGGCTTACGCTATGACTGCAGGTGACGAAGCATTAACCAGGGTTACTCTGTTTAAAAATTAAACTGCTTCTCAGATCCTTTTTAAAGGACACTAGACTGCCTCAACAGTGCAAATTAAATCCTGAAGAGGACACTCATATTTCACAAACCTGCATCTCTGATCACGCTCATGGTTACAGCCATGGCAACCGGTGTCCACCAGGAATCTGGTGTCCACCAAGATCCCAGCATCTGCCAGGTACCCAGTGCCTACCAGTCACCCATTGTCAACCCATTTAGCCAGTGTCCACTCGGTGCCCAGTATCCACGATGAGCCCAGTGGCCATCAGGGACAGAATGTCCACGACGCACCACTGCTCAGGGTAGAAGGGGGTTCCTCACCTTCTCCACATTGCTGAGTTTATCTTGAAGCTGCCGTTTCTCAGCCTCGGTCCGTGACACAGCAAGTTTCAGCTCCTTCACCTCGTCCTGCAGGGAGCTGATGCGTGCTGTGTGCATCAGCGTGCGCGTGTGTGAATGTGTGCGTGTGGGTGTGCAAAACAAGTAAAGAGCATTTTAAAAGTCGCGTTCCTCATTCCTTGGTGTTCCTCTAAGAAAATGTAAAACGACACGAAAGGTCAGACTCTCCCTCTACACATTCCCTCCCTCACCTGGTACACGGCATTTTTAACGAGCATCGCTTTCGATATTACGGGGGTTTGCATTACTAACGCGAGCCGGTCGATGTGATATCCGACAGCACGGTCAGGCAGCGGAGTTGTAAGTGCCACATCTCGGATCACGCTGGCTTCGTGTGCGCGAGCGAGTGCCGTTCGTGTCTCTCAGACCCACGCCGTCTCCGCACACACAGCCGTGTCGACAATCGTTGCCATATAAGACGAGCGCCGCCCCCTCAAGATTACTCCCGAGACGGAGCTGTCGCCGCTGCCCTGCCTGCGCTCTATGTAAGTGACGGCCAGTAGCAACCACGGTGGCGTCTGTCATAACGGGCAGCTGAGTCTGCCCCAGAGCATGTGTTTGGCTGCATACAATGGTGCCTGTTCACGAAACAATGTTTAAAAATGCCTGAAGTGTAGATGACACTTTGTGAGAACACACATTTCATTTTTATAATTTAACATACCCCATTTCATTTTTCCTCATGCTGATCTGCATGCGCCGATGACGAAATCACATGCAATGCAGCCGACCTCAACAGACCTCGAAAGCTAAGCAGAATTTTTAAGGCCTTGAAAGGGCTTGGATGGGTAATCACCAAGCAGAAAAACAGGTATAATAGTCTACTTTGGGCCTGCATTTCAGCAGAAGGCAATGAGCAAATTCCATGGTTGTACTGTACTTTTACGCACCAGCATATATACTCCCCCCTCGCCAACCCTCCTTGAGAAGCGTGAAGTGCAGTAAAATAACCTTCACGAACCACAAGGCTTGGGCAGGCCTTCATCCAGCAGTGGATTGACAAAAGGGCTGTCTGCGTACACGTTCTACATTATTATTCACTCGGACGTTTTCACGAACATGCAGGCAGGCACTGGCGTGGCTTGCCAGCTGGCATTTCTTACCGCACACCCTTGTAGGGGCACACTGTCACTTCGAGGCTAAACATACCAGCCCCGGGGGGACGGGCACTCGCTATCTCAAGATAAAGCTGTCACGGGGCAACTGCGCTGAGCACCGCATGGGAAAGTGTCACGTGTCTGGAATAAGCAGGATCACTGATCGCCTCACGAATGCTACGTTTAATAATTTAACACGCAGAGTGAATGTGTAGGCAATGAATTTGGAACACCAGCAGCATGGGGAGTGATACACTATAACAGAGGAGGACCACTCAGCTCTTTATTTGAATCGCATGGCCTGGGGTACTACTGGGCGTCAAGACTAGTCTTCAGTGGCTACGTTGGGGCTCGTGCGGAGTATCCACGCTAGTGCTGAGTGTCGAGGCTAGTCAGTTGTGCAATATTCCTTAAGGACCCTGTCGTTGTTCTCTGTAATATTGAAGTTTTAATCTTTGTTTTGTTGTTGCTGTGCTCACGCACCACGGATCTCCCTTATAACCGAGCAACTGGTTAAACGGTATCATCCGTGTAACATATAAAATAAACGTAAACTTACGGCGAGTGTTGGGGGCCAAGGTTAGGGCTCGTACCGAGTATCAAGGTTAGTGTAATGTCAAGCCTCGTGCTCGCTCATGCCATCTCACCCTGCAGGTCGGCATTCATCTCGGTGCCGTGCGTGCGGTCTCTCCTCTCCGTTTCCACTGCAGCCTGCAGCGTCAGCACCTCCTTGTCCTGGCGCAGGCGGGCCGCCTCGAGGCCACGCATCCGCTCCGCCAGCTCTCGGTTCGCTGCCTCCAGGGCACTGGCCTGCTTTGCACCCTCGGCCTGCGCCTTGCGTGCTCGCGCACCGGCCTCCGTCTCCGCGCGCAACAGCGCCGTCGACTCCTCGAGCTGAGGGGCGAACGATGGAGTCACACGGACAGACGCGCGAGGGATGAGACCGGGGTGCCAAGCCGGTGCTGTGACTCTCAAACACAGCCAATTTAATGTTTTAACGCTTTTTAATTTAGGATGACTATCTGTCTGTTGCTAGCGTCCCAATAACTCTCATAAAGATGATACAATATATATGAAAGGTGAGTTAAAACTTTATATTGTGGGACCAACACAAAGAAAAATGGCCATATTGATGAAAGGGTTGCTCAAAACTTGGCGATAGTTAATAAAGATTTTCGGCCAAGGCGATAACGTCACATACTCCCCCATGACGTCATAACATGTGATGTCATCTCAAACTCCACATATATACAGTTAGAAACTCGTCGTTTGCTCTTCAATGCCATAGCATGACGTGTGGTGCTGGTCACTGATGCGCCTGTGGGGAGCGAGAGAGCGTGCCTGTTTCTGCAGTTGAGTGACCCTCTCGCTCGACGCGTGGGAGCTCTGGTTGCGCCGCTTCATCTCCTCCAGCTGCTCCCTCAAGCTAGCCACTGCAGCACAAGACAGGAGGAGGTGGTGAGGGTGGGGGCGAGATGGGCCAGGGCAGTGTCAGGTGAGAGAATTAAAAAAGAGAAGACTATGCAGGATACATTTTCAATGTGCGCGGGAAACGTCAGTGCCACGTTGCAGCAACAAAACACTGATGCACAACATAAAAAGTGCCCTTACAACACCGCGTTAACTAGCGGCGTGGACATGTGGTCTCTGCGTTACAGCCTTAGTAACCAGGGGGAGGGGGTTGCACGAGGGCTGGGGGGCCGTGGGGACCAATTCTATTTATTGGGGGCCCGCCAAGCCACTGCTTTACAACAAGGGTAGAAAACCTTTTCCTCACCAAGGGCCAAATAGGACTTTCAAATACCTTTAGCGGGCAAACACATGCCTTAATTACTTCGATCACCGCTTGTGGCCCTTGCAGTGAGCGATAATTGTGACCAAGCGTCCATAAAATTGATTCAAGAGTATTTCCAGTCTAAACTATACACCCCTCTTGTACCAGAATAGTGCAGCAAAAATGCTTTCAGACTGTTTTGAAGTGGTACGCCTCATGTGGCTACTGACCATATGCATTTCCCATTTTAAGCTTTCACAGCTGTACCGATAAATATATACCCTTGGTATGGACCAACTGAAACCATAACAATACCGCAACCAATGTGTGAACAAGCCATAGAGTTCCCCACCCCTGCCTTAAACCGTTCACCTTGCTATCACCTCCTCCCAAGCTTCACCAAACCTAACCCTGACCTGTGATTTCCGACCCCAGTGAGTCCCACCTTCGTTATCGGCGTTGCGTCTCTTCTCGGCCTCGGCGTCCGCCTTGCGCTGGTTTTCCGCCACTTTATGCTGCAAGAGTGCCTTCTCGCGCTCCATCTGCCGTGCCTGCACCTCCACGCTCTTGCGAGTGGCCGTCTGCACGGTGCGCACACACAGGCACGCAAGTATTCTGTAGAGCTATACAGCTCAGTGGGCCTTACCTGATAAAATAAAAATTGTTTTATACACGCACGCACACACAGCATACACACTTGCGCACAGACACGTGCGTGCACTCAAGTGTAGATGCACGCTCGCTCAGGAGCACACAGACATGTGCATGCAAACGAAAGAAAAGAGACACATACGCGCGCAAACGTGTGCAAACACAAAAAAAATACAAAGACACAGATCCCCCATATAGCCTTAGCAGACAGTTGGGGCAAGCGCTGTTAGCACCATACCCAACGGCCTTTGTCTCCGGAGTGGCAATGTTTACACACTACACCATGTACTCATTTGCGGATGACTCGACCATCTAGGCCCAGGACCAATTGGTGTTGGCCATGAGCGGGAATTGATCTCGGGTTGCCGGGTTAGTAGCACAGCATGCTAACCTCTACACTACCGCTCCACACACAACAGGCAAAGATCCCCCGTATAGCCTTAACAGACTGTTAGGGCAAGTACTGTTAGCGAGCGCAACACACACACGTACAGACATGCACACATGGGCACGGCAACGCACACAAGACGCACACAAGACATAGGTACGCAAGCACACAGGTATGATCATACACAGCAGATGTAACTTCTTGTGCAACTTTAGTGGCAAACAAATGCAGTAAACTTGCGCGCCGATTGTGAAATGAGTGCCTTTCAAAGTAAATAACATAGCGAGGGGCAGCAATTATTGCCTATTTCATACCTCTTCATCAAGCTCCTTCATGATCTTTTCCAACCGAATGTTTGTGTTCCTGCAGAAGAAAAAGGTGAGAGGTCAAAATACTCCATGAAGCATTGTCCAGGACACTTATCATCAAGGGCTCCATCCATGGAGACTAAAACAGGACAATACAATTTGGTTTACGTGGCATTCAACTGCGACCGCATCTCAAGATGCTATACAGAAACACTGCAGTGTGACAGATGGCCCTCAGGTGAGTGTGCAGGTGGACACGTGCAAGCAGGCAGGCGGGCGAGTGTACAAGAAGGTGGATGTGTGCACAGCTGTGTGTGTGTGCAGGAGAGGCTTACGGAGCCCCAATGTAGTTTCAGACCGGGGTGGTTCTGCAAGGATGCCATTTTCTCTGTCCGTCTGCTACAGCACAGGTATACGGAATTTCAGCAGGACCTACATCTCTGTTTTATTGACCTGTGCAAAGCCTATGATACTATCCATAGGCCAGGGCTCTGGGTTAAACTTTGTGCTTTTGGGATCCCTAACCCACTGATCACAATCATGAGGGACCTTCATGATGGTGGGCTGGCCCAGATAAAAGCGTTTTTTGTTCCACTTTGGGGTGCGACAGGGACGTCCTTTGGCCCCTACACTATTTTACATCTTTGACCACGTAGTTCGAGAAGCTTTCCATGGCTGTATGGGAGGACTTTCCATATACTACATATACAATGGGAGGCTGATCGATGCCTGGCTGCGGTCAAGGGATGGCTCCCTATTGGTCAACCATGTTATGTATGCTAATGATCTGTTAATTAATGGCCAGGTATGCAAGTGTGCATGTGGGCGGGTGAGCCATTCACCGGTATTTCTGCTCCATCTCATCCTTCGCCTGCATCTCATTGTGCAGCTGCTCCTCCAGCTGATAAACCTTCTGGTGGAGTTTGTCAACCTGAACGAAAGCGGACAGTAACCACGGTGATGCGGCATCACAGATGCACGGCGTAACATGAGAGAGGAACACGAGAGAGGAACACAAAACAGGAACTGGCACGGTGACACAACCATTATTACACCCCATGGCCAGAATGGAATGGAAATTATATTTGAATGAAGTGACTGCACCGCAGGGTAGGGACGGCATTACGTTGTGTTGCATTGTGAAAAAAAGCAGCGGGGCCGTGCAAAATACATTCCGTTATGTGTAAAAGCCACAGGCAGTTTGGCGGAAAAATAAAATGTAGCAGCAAAAACATGCAGGAAATGCTTAAAGAATTCACCCCCTGAAGGTCAACTGTCAGCTGAAGAGCCAGCAAGATTTACAAAGGCAATTTAAACATACATGTCCCTTTTTAACATTTATAACCATTATAAAACTATTTAAAGAATGAATGGCAATAACTCACCTCTCTATTACTTTCCTAAAAGGAAATTAAGCAAAACAAAAAAGATGACATTAGTATGGCTTTATAGTTTTGACTTAAAACTTTCGTGACTGCAGGAATTCATATTCTATGGTTCTTTCGGTAAAGTCACGTATCTGTCGACATGACTTTACCGAAAGAACCACAGAATATGGCTTTATAGCTCAATGTTTTTCTTTAAGCATTCAAAGGTGATAAATGTGCAACACCACGCGGTGATTCTGCCGAAGCAGTGCAAAGCAGGAACTCGTCACACGCGAATCTCCACCGCTAGCACAAGGGGCACGCGCGCGCAAATCCTCGCAAACACAAACCCACACACGTCATGACACGCAAAGAATAAACACGCAAGCAAAATGAATGGCGCCAAGCGGAGCGGCGATGGGTCTGCCGAGGCATAGCACGCAGCCGGGAAGGAAATGTCACGGGCCGAGCGGTGAACCCAGCATAGCAACACCACCCCCCGCCCCAGGTTCTCATTTACATGCGCATATATACGACCTGCTTGCCCCAGCAACGCGGATTCATGACCAAGGCAGAAATTAACTATTCCCTTCCCATGCGCTTGACACACACACGCACGCACAGCCGAATTACCACACAGAAATGCTGTGCTGGACTCTTTACACCACTGGTTGGGCCACTCAATGGTCGGTGCAGCGTTAGGGGTTGGGCTGTCACATGCAGCAACTGTCTGTGAAATGTCTCACGTTGCAAAACTCCCACTTTATTAAAACAAGCTTACGCCTGGGCTGTACTTGTGATAAGTAGGTGTGTGCAACAATGTCATCATCATTGCCCTTGAACTTTTACAACCCTTTATCGATTCACAGCTGGGTAATGGGCCTTCCCATGTTGTGCAGGTCGGTTGTAGGGTTTCTTTGACATACTTCACCATGCTGGTCAGTGCGGGTTGAATGTTGGGAATATAGACATTCGAGCATAATACAGTACAACATTGTATTTTTCTACACTGTCCAATGCTGAAAATGTAGCCTCACACCGCCTATAACAGCTGTTTTATGCATGATGGTGTTAATCCATCCAAGCACTAACCAGGCACATATCCGTTTATCTGACGAGGTTGGGTGCATTCCGGGTGAATTGGTCACGTCACTGCCCTTGTAAAAGTGTTTAAGTGTGCATGATTTCAGAATTCACGAATAGATAAAACAACAAGAAGAGGTGTAACGTACGTACCACACTGCTTTGACGGGGCTGGTTCATTAATGCGCGGTTCACCTCCGTGCCATTCACACTGAACAACCTGTGGAGACATGCGTCAGTAATGAGGTGGTCCCTCCCTTCAGTATGGCCGCTCTGTCAGCACAGCCCCAAAGTCTCAAGGAACCACTTAGTTTTCACACCATTCGCTGCCATCACCCACCTTGGTCACAGCATCCACTCCAGTACCCCTTGGCACCCCAGCTTAGACAATACATTGGCGACCCTACTCACTGGTAGTCGCTGTAATAGGTGAAGCCCACAAAGGGCAGCTGGTTCCCGGAAAATGCCTTGGGCACGGGGAAGGTCTCGTCCTCCGCCTTGTCCTCCTCAATCTCGTCAAAGTTGCTCGTGTCCGTGTCGCTCACCAGCTCTGGCACCACGGGTGCAGCCGCTGCAGATGGCACAACCAGGGATTTATTTCAGCTGGGTTTGTCAAGGCCAGCGACCCGAAAAATATTTTAGCACCGGGTACATCACATCCAGTATAACTCTCACTATAGGCTGCAACTAGACAGTGCAAAATTACTCAAGTCTGTCAGCGAACCAGAAAATATTCAGTGAGAAATTAAACTGCACAGTCACAACGCTGCCTTGCGACACACTCAAAGCAGGTACAGCAGGTAGCTATTGAGTGCACAGGTGATGCAACTGCACCAAGTCTCACAATTCCGACTAAAAGGAGCAGAAACATTGGACGAGGCAATGAGGCATTCAATGGCTTGGGGGTGGGAGGGGGCCATTCAATGGCTTGCACCTGGGCCCATGTTAACGTGAACGTCTGTCTAATTGCAGTAGACAACAGATGCTGCTCACACCACCGCCAATGTAATGACTGCACTCCGATTATTCAGGCTTGGCAGAGTTTCACAGTGCTTTGTAAAGACCTTCCATTCAGCTCACAAGTGGCTACAGTTTACTATGAAATGTTGCAGGAGGTGAGGGCCAATGTCATAAGGATGTGCTATCACCTCACCTCGATTTAGCTTCACCTGCATTTGTTCAATTTTGTACGATAAGTTAAAAAACAAATCTTGCTTTCAACATCACTCACTCTCCCTGATGTTCTCCCACGTCCACTGGTCGTTCTTGAAGAAGGGGTGTCTCTTGATCTCCCCAACCCCATTCCTCCCGACCCGCACTTCTCTGGAAGAAAAATAAACAAAATGTGAAAATATTTTCTCAAGCCTATAAAACACACGCTTTCAAATATAGAGGCTTGAGCAGGATCTCACGAGGGCGGGAGCAATGGGGTTGTGCCCATCAGACTGGTGTCCCTCTCGGCACACGATACACACACACTCTCTCTCTCTCTCAAACGTGAGCTTTAAAAACATCCCGGGCTCCTCGTAATAAGCGACACTCTCACCGCTTTGGAACGCGTTCTCACCAACGCACGTATAAAACCTGTTCTCGAAATGTATACAGCAATCGGCTGCATTTCCGAGCCCCGTGTCATCGTGCATCGCGGTGTTGCCGTGCCGCGATAAATGCACGTGCCCAAGCACGACGCAGGGCATGTCATGCGCCAAATTAACACAGCATCATAAATCACAAGCAAGAGACACCTATGTTACTATATGAAGAGCAATGTAAGTCTCTATACTATTTTATGTTCTCTCCATATTAGTTGATTATATCGTTGTACAGCATCTCTCGAGGCTCCTCGTGTTAAGACTCTAAACAAAGTTTATTATTAGAAAGGAAAGAGAAGCATCCATGTCTTTCACTTTTTAAGACATTCACTATGCCAACAACAAATATAGAAATAAATGATGGCTTGATGGCACGGTGTTAACACGTGTGCCTCGCAGCAAGAAGGGCCTGGCTTTGATTCCTGACTTGGGCACCTTTGTGGAGTTTGTATGTTCTCCCCTGATCTAAATGTTTTTTTGTCTGGTTTCCTCCCATAGCTAAAACATGTGATGCCATTGGTGTTGGCCAAACATCACAATGCATCAGGACCCTCTTTAAACTGAGACTTGAGATATTGTTGCACCCATTATTTAACCAGCAGATTAAATAACCGATTGAGACACAGGAAACAACATTGCTTGTTTTTCGAGGGCGACCTGGGTTAGATCACAATTTAAGAACACAATCTTGTTTAATACAGTGAAATTAAACAAATGTAGTTATGTGTGTGTGTGTATATATACAAGACAAAAACTGCAACAACAACCGAAACGACACACTCACTAATAACGGAAGGAACAATGGCAGTACCGGTCGATGAGGAAGGCACAGATGAGATTCTTGGCATCCTTAGATATGTCCACATCATCGGGGAAGTTGAGGGCATTCTTGTGGTCCATGATCTTACTGTAGGTGCCGACGAGCGAATCCGCGTAGAATGGCGTGTCACCTGATCGCATGCCGCACGGACCCCACATGCACAAAGCGGTCACTCTCTCCGCACGCTCACCGTCGCACAACATTTAACATGTCGCCCTCCCCACGATTCAGTGAGCATTTCCAATGTCAACCAGCATTAACTTTTTTGTCTGAATTGTACTGTTTCGATTGTTGAATCTGGAAAATTCTGTCTCATCCATTCCATTAATGGAAACGTGACATTTGGACGAATTTGTTAACAATTTGCGATAATCATTTCTAATCGACTCTTAGACACGTGATTTAACGTGTGTTTTATAGCGTAAAATATATTTTAATAATTTAGGTAATACATTGTCATCACATGCATATCTATCATACACTATTAAAACCCTTAAAGTACAAATCCTTTACGATTCTAATTATTGTCATAGCGGTGAGGCTGTGGAGACAGTGGGACGCACCGACGAGCATCTCGTAGAGGAAGACGCCCACGGACCACCAGTCACACTCGCGTCCATAGTAGCCGTCCCCGCCCTGCGACTTGAGAACCTCGGGGGAGATGTAGTCCGGAGTGCCCACCGCCGTGTCGCAGCGCACCATGCCCTCCTGCAGGCGGCACACGCACAGGTTCAACCTGCTCAGCCGGCTCGCTCACCCCTCACTCCCAATCACACGTGTCCCCGCTCGCCAAATACCCCCACCTCACCCGTATCCTTACTGACCCGTGCGCACATTCACCTGTGGCCTCAGATACTCTCGCCCACCAAATGCTCTCACCCACCGCCTGCTCTGAAAAGTGTGGTCGAGATTATCAAGCCAGTAATAGCTCGTCCCAGTTGTGCAATAAAATTAACTGAGCACCGGCTCTTTTGACAGATTACATACCATTCATAACTCCTGATTTGTCTGTGGCTTAGTCCTAGAGCCTTTACTAAATCTAGATATATTAGCAATGGCACCATCACACGGGCCATGCGACCACGGGTCGGAGACGCTGCTGAAATTTTAAGCGGCAGTGCCAGAAACGTGCGTCTGTGTGTCTGTGGACGGACATACGGTGTCCATCTTCATGCAGGTGCCAAAATCAGCAAGCTTGAGATGTCCGTTCTTGTCCAGCAGCATGTTGTCCGGCTTCACGTCCCTGCGACGCACACACGTGCGCGCATTCGCAGTTAGCTCGGATAGCGGCAGGTACTACTAACGACCATTCTAGAGTTAGCAAGGAGCTCTCGCTGCTGGAGCTAGGATATTCAGTTGAGTAATTATCGATCACTCTACCAATTATCAGCTCGATTACTCAAATAATCGGATAACGCAAAAATAGTTGGGGTAAAAAGTCTCGCCTCTTGCCATGTGGGATGCTGGACAAGAGATAATGGGTTGGGATTGGTTGTATCATTGGCATCTTCAGCTGTGTCACGATGGGCATGGCATGTAGGGGATAGCCACCATTTTTAAAGGGGCACTGAGTAATCACCAGCAAAAAAAGTGGATTATGTTCGTGAATTAATCGACTTCATCGCATAATGGCGGTGACATGGCTAAGCCGTAGCACGCTTACCACTTGTTGCAGAGGTTGTGGTTTGCGCCTCAGCAGCTGCTCTGGTTAATACTCTGGGTGTATTGACGATAAATATTACACGCCGTCTGCTTCGCAGTGGAGGTTATAGATCATGATGCTAATCACAACATCACCCGCTCCTGTGAAACTCCTGAAGACTACCGTCATCTGGGAAATACAGCACCGTTGTGATAGCCTTGCGCTCTACGAATGGCGGAAAAGCTGCTGCGTTATCCCTGTGCGAACCCCTGGCGCCGTCACCTGTGAATGAAGCCCATGGAGTGGATGGCGTCGAGGGCAAGCACCACCTCGGCCGTGTAGAAACGCGCCCACTTCTCGGGGACGTCGTAGTTGCTCATGAGGTTGACGAGGTCTCCGCCCGGCATGTACTCCATCACCATGTACAGATAGCGGTGGTCTTGGAACGCGTAAAACAGCTGCAGTGACAAAGCCAGCGAGCAATAAACACCGACGCAAATGGAAATACGACAACGCATACTGGACCGGGGGGAAGCGAGGGCTATGGGATAGGGTTAGTTGGCCCAAGTGTAGTAGGCCACACGATCACAGACTGGAGAGGGATGGACAGTGTTCACTCCCATTTCACCTGCACGACCCAGGGGCTGTTGGCGAAGGCCATGATGTCCCTCTCCTCCCAGAAAAATGCCGAGTCAGATCGCTTTGTCATCTCAAACTTGCTCAGCAGCTTCATGGCGTACACCTTCTTGGTGGCTTTGTGACGAACCTGCAGGCAGCAATCACGGTCAACCACCGCAGCCACACTCACACATCCAATAGACAAATGTAACTCTTATTCTTTGGGTCTTTTGGTAAAGTCGCGTAGATAGGTTCAAAGAAAATTAACAAAAAACTACGACGTTTCAATCGCAGCACAAGCGGTCGTCATCAGGAAAAGGGGGTTAGCAGGAACCACCTTCCGATGTTAGTTGTTATTATACATCTCGAGTAGACAACCACACATCTAACAGGTAGCCATACATCCTCAACTATACATCTACATAATCTTGTGTGTCCTGTGTTTCGTGTGGTCCGGTATCTAGTGTCATGTGTCATGCGGGTGTGTCCTGTGAATGTCAAGTGTCTTGTATGTAGGGTTGCGTTCATGTCGTGTGTCCTGCTGCTGGTGCTGCACCGTGCGAGCGAGGCGTGCGTCATACCAGCTGCACCTCGCCAAAGGCTCCCCGCCCGATCACCTTCACCACATCGTAGTCATTGGCTCTCATGCGCAGGTCCCGCACCTTCCCCACCGCCTTCTCGTCTGAAAGCATTACACCTCGTTGGTCAAAATCCCTCGATCCACAAGACTAAAACAAATGTGTAAATGTACACACTCAAAACGCACAACATGAAGGGGGCCTGTGAGTGTTAGGACTACAATGAATATAGTGGGGACAAAGGTTTACAGTGGAGAGAGCTTACCTTGAAGTGATAAGTATGTTACCTCCCCCAACTTCTCAAGACGAATGGATGCTGGATTAGACCAGGGGTCATGACCCTATCCTCCAGGAAGGGGCAAAAACCACACTTTCCTGTTTCTTGCCCCAACGCACCTCTGCCCACTGTACATTCGTAAGATAACCCCACAGCTCAGCCTATAATCAAATCACACAGAATGCAGCCGATCTTATCAAATCTTGGAAGTTAAGCAGGCATGAACCTGAAAAGTTCTTAGAAGGGTGACCTCCATGTACAACAGGTGCTGCGAGTACAGCTTGGGCAGGCAATGCAATTTATTACACTGTTGCATTATACTTCATGTTCCCCTGTATACAGTCCCTGCCTTCAGAAACCTGCACTCTGACCAAGGTAGTGAAGTATGGTAAAAAAAAAACACCAAGACCCACACAGCGTGGGGAGGCCTTAATCCAGCAGTGGATTGATAGAAGTGCTGGACGCGTGGCACAGCTCAATGCTAGGCATGGTGTCAGGGTGGCGACATAGGGAGTGGGGCAGAGTGCTGAAGAAGGGTGACCGTATTTCACTAAGCTGGTCAGCGCTGACTGGTGAAGATGAAGAGCACTCACATCTGTTGAGGAAGTTGTCGATATTCTTGTTTTTGCGAAGCGCGGGGAAGTCCAAATCTAGCACCAGCGCGTCGAGGCCATCCTAAAAGCAAAACAAAAATAACGGCACAGACGCACACATATGGAAATTAATAAATACGTTCCTCAGGAGTCAAGTCGGTGCACACAGGAGGCCATCCTAAAAGCAAAACAAAAATAACGGCACAGACGCACACATATGGAAATTAATAAATACGTTCCTCAGGAGTCAAGTCGGTGCACACAGGACGCATCCTCTAATTTTCACTGCTACTCTAGAATGTTGGAACATTAGACGCATTACATTTGCTGCCAGAGCATTTCCCACAGAGACCGAGTCAGGGGATTTGGACACTCACGTCTCTGGTGATAACTACAAGGGACATCATGATTTGCCCAACTGGGTAAAATGCAGGATTGAGAATTTTGATATGACAGGAACACAATGTAGACAACGACTGCCGTGGTGTTACAGTTAGCACACTGGTCTCGCAATCCAAGTCACCAGCTCCATTTGATTTCCCAGCGCAAAAAAACTAAACTTTTTTTTTACAGGTCGTTACCAAAACTGAAAAATAAACTAAATTAACAACACTACTCCTAAAGTAGCCCAGGGTGGTCATGACTCAATACTACTGCCAGAGCAGGGCTGAGATAAGCATAAAACCACATTAACCAAAGAGCAAGCAAGAGTGAAAGTCCAGGTTCTGTGTAAGGTCTGAGTGTCGGATATATTCCAGCTATTCATGCCCATAACCAGCAATACGAAACGCTCCACTCCGCAGGGCGGCCGCCAATGCCACGTGGACTATAAAAATCCAAAACTGGGATGTAGTGATTCACCCAAACACACAGATGGCCATGTTTCTTACTCCCATCAACAAATAAAAATAAACAAACAAGACAGATCTTTATCAAAATGCAGGTCAGAAACCATTGACAAAGGCACACAGATGGAAGTCTTCATTAATACTCATGCAAGAGCCCACTCACAGACATATGGACAGAAATATGGACAGAAGTGTTTATTTATATCCACGCGTGTTGTTTTGTTTCGAGTGTCCATGGCGGTGTGGATTCTTTGTCTCTTCTGACACCAGTTGTGTCAGAGACTTCTTTGTAGGCAAAACTGTTTATTTACTCTAACGTCAGAGAACGTCCCTAACACAGAGAGGTAACAGCCTCTCCCACCCGATAGCCTAGAGGATACGTCCTCATACTTAGTGTGCCCTCACACTATACTCTGCTTAACGGGTACTGCCACTGGGCACGTTCGGACCTGGCACTGACAAGGGCCAGAGGTGGGAAGTCCCAGGGCACTATCTCGATGTCTTGAGTCTTGAGGTGAGTGCGGACTGACTCATGCTGGGAGAGCTGCTGCCCTTTACATTCTTCCTCTCCCAACCGTGCTGTCTCGAGAGGGTCTGTGTCCAACCGTTGCCCCCCCCAGCCCCCTCCCTCAGTGGGCTCTGGCCCCCTCACCCCTGGTCAACGGTTATTGTAGTTGTGACTCATACAATACTATTATGCAAGTAAGTATACATGTTGCGCGTAACAATGCTGCTACACATTGACAGACACACATAAGTATTTGTTTCCATTAACAAAGAGATACAGATATCCATAAGTTTTTATTTATAGCCAAGTGAGGGCTAATTGCAAGGCATACACACAGAAGTGAGACGCATGTTTGGAATTACACTGAAACAGTGGAACGTGGATTAGAGAGCAAAAACAAGTTTAGGCCATCATGCTACATCGCGAGTTTCAAGATGCGCATCTGTGGCCGTCTAGAACGCTCTTCCTTCCGATATTAGGACACCACTGGAGCTATGCATTTTTAAATCTAAATTGAAAACCCATTTCTTTAGAGGTGCTCTTTGTGTATAGTTCCGTTGGCTACGTACGGTGCGAAAGAAGTTAAACTCAGATCCATAGCATTAAAAAGTGGGTTTTGACAGAACACATCGACACATGGTACAATAGCCAGTGTGAGAGACTAAGGAATGGCAGCCAAAGTATGAAACTTGCTCAAGAGGAAAACCACCGCTGCCATCCACGATGGATGGCAGCGACTTCGTGACACACCTACTCAGCAGTGAATAAATTATAGGCGACAATTAATTGACTGACTGAGGAATTGTGACATCCCTTGTTTACAGCAGCAGTGTAAGTTATTGAAGTGGGCGGTCCTCCTCGACACGTGCTCCATCCACCAGCCACGCCGTGGCGGATCAGAGGCGGCACGCAGTGAACACCAACGCCAGGTGACGGGTGCGGTCAGCTCGCTTGGCAGCACTGGCGCTGCAGGTCCCGGCTTGTCAGCATGGTGACACGTGACCGAGAGCCACTTGGCAACACTCCGCTCAGCCGCTCGCTCACTCACGCTCGCAGTCTGCTCATTGAGTAAAATGATAAAGACCCCTCCCTCTCCCGTGTAGACTACATAGGTTTTTTTTTAGGTAAGTGCTGTTAGCAAGCACCTCGGAAGGTGGCGTGGCACACAAGCGGTTGGTTTGGCAGGGATGATCTCCGACACATCAGCTAACACTCACCAGCTAAGATGCATCAGCTAACACGGACCAGCTAATTGTTACGTTACGACGTTAATCGTAACATTTAGATACCAGTTTAGCTCATATCGCGACGCAAATGCCAACAGCCCCAGGTATTACAGAGGCCAAGCTGTGTCAGCAGCCTCATGAACCAGGAAAGTTCAGCAGATGCCCCGTTTTTGAAAACACAATCGGTGGACAGTGTGATTACACAGCTCTTTGTAAATTGCAGAGGAATGCTTATCCAACACCATGCTTAAGGTGCTTCATAACTACAGGTGACTAAGCAATACAGTGAGCGGCTTGCAATCAAAAGAACCAAGAATAAGAATATGAATCACTGCAGTCACGAAAGCTTTAAATCAAAATCAGAAGGTTGCGAGTTCAAATCCTGGTTGAGAGTTGACCCATCATCCCTCCCTCGGGGGTCAGTAAAAAGTATCACTTTATGGATTTGAAGCTTTCGTGACTGCAAGGATCCATACTCTTTGGTTCTATTCTAAGTGACTTTACCGAATAGAACCAAAGAGTATCACTTTGTGAAGTCAAGCGGTTGCACTAAGGAGAGACTTGCCCCACCATCAAAATGTGGAATTTTCACAACTGGCTCAGGACTGTAAACAGGAGATGAGCACTGCCCCTATGCTCATATGAGCAGGAAATCACTTTTAATGATTAAGAAATATATATAAAAGCAACGTTTCGGGCAATGGCTTTCTTTATAGCAGGGTCATTGCCTGACCCTTCACCTATTACATACCTTTTCGTCGTTTGGGTAGTGTTATTAATTAACATGCCGAGTTATTTTCGTGCACCACTGCCAATGCAGAATCACAATTTTTTGTTTCATAATTACTGGACTCCTGACGACAGCATCTTGTGTTTGGCTGGGGCTGGGTGTTGCTGCGTGTGTGTGGCTGCCCGTCCATTCGTGCCCCAGCATGCAGATAGCACATGACACTCCTGCTGGTTCAGTATGAACCTGCCCAATCGAGGCTGCCATTACGATTGTTTTACCCGCAAGCCGAAGTGCACGGCTACAGGAGAAGCAGCGGCTCGCTCGTTACATGGATCACTCATCTGAACAACTCGGCACCAGTGACTGTGAGCACCCAGCAACTTATGCTGGGTGCTCACTTCTGGCCAAGCAGCCGGAACCCACTAGCTAACGCACAGAAATGAACAAGCACCAATGGCGGAGCCAGGATTTTCAGGTGGGGGGGGGGGCAACCCCTCCAGCAATGAAAAATGATAGTAAGTAAGGACTTGTCCCTTGATTTTTATTCTTTTATTCGACGCGTGTGCGGCGATGGCGCAGTCATCGATCGAGGGTCGAATTCGAAGCGTGTGTGATCAGCATCGCGCTCGCTGAAGGTGAATGCCTTCAGGGAAGTCGTGTACTGTATACGCAATTGCGCACAATTCTGGGAGTCACTTATAACTGCTTTTCCGTTACTTATTGCCAATTATGGACTCAGACTATTGTCCTATCGTCTCAGAGTCCCTGGCACGTAATAATATGCTACACTGGCTCCGCCAGTGACAAGCACCAGCTAACACACACGATCCAGCATGAACCACTTCACACACCATATAGCATACACCGGCTAACACACATCAATTGCTATTACCAATCCATTCAGAAGACACAGCAGGCATATGACATGCACCTCCCACCAGGTACCAGCCAGTATAAATCATCAGGCAAATACCAACCAAAAAGTACCATCCAGCATGAACCAGAACCAAACGGCAAGTAACTTCCAGGACGAACCATTTGAGATGAATCACCCAGCATGTACCACCTGGCACACAAGACTTGGTACGTACCACCTCATAAGAAGTACCACTCGTGCATCAGCACAGGCATATACCACAAGGTCATGAACACAAAAACCCACGTCAGGTTTTTGAGGAGTAGCACACATAGCCATACCCACCAGCGTGAACGCCTTCTGCTCCGCAAGCAGCATGAGGTTTCCTGTCAGCGCTGCACCCAAGCGTCACTCAACCAGAGATCTTCGAGATGACAAGGCAGGCGTTATGCGCATAACCGTAGCGCTTTGCCATGTCTTACATGCGTGACCTGAGTGAATATTTCATATCGTGTGGTTTTTCAAAGGATTAACAACCGGTAACACCTCAGAGAGGGCAGTGATGGAGAGGGCTTATTTCATGGTTATTAATATATTATGAGCCTGTTACTTATACATTCATGTGTGAATTAGCGTGTGAGAAACGACTGAACAAGGATACCGTGGTGGTGGCGAATGGCACAACCTTCAAGTGGCCATCTGCTGAAGCTACTTTCCGCTTGAAACTGTTTTTATGGGAAGGAATTAAATACGAGGGCTAAGAGAATAATGGGACGAGTTTCATGGCTCTATGCACAACCCCGTGCATCACATGCTTGCGGGCTGCACAACGGCGCCTCGGTTGCGATGGCACGAGGCCACGCAGCAGTAGCAGCGCAATGGAGGAGATTCCAGAGACGGCAATCCACAAATGG